CGCCCTAACACACTCGGCTCGGCTTCGCTCGCGCGCCGCCATGGACCCGGTCGACCTGCACGATCTGCACCCTGAATTGCAGAAACTGGAGGAGAAGGCCGCGAAGGCAGAGGAGGCCCTCGCCAAGGAGGAGAAGCTGCGCAAGGAGGTTGAGGCCCTCAACGCCAAGCTGCTCGAGGAGAAGACCGCCCTGCTGTCCAGCCTCGAGGGAGAGAAGGGATCTCTCGCCGACATCCAGGAGCGCAGCGCCAAGCTCGCCGCCCAGAAGGCCGACCTCGAGTCCCAGCTCCACGTAAGTACTCGCTCTTCTTTCTTTTCGCAGGGTGCTCAGTTCTCACGCTCATGTGCGGTTGTCTAGGGCTACCAAGTCGTGGGCTAGACTCTTCCGCCCAAACCTCACAATCGCCTCGTGTCAATTTAATTGCGCTTCAAGCAACAAGCAGAAAAAAAACATTTTCAGGCCTATCCCAAAATTTTAGACAGTTTTTAGAGAACGGATGGAACAGCTGCTCTTCATAAATGAAATAGTTCATTGTATACCATTTACAAGCGCTTTTGCAATTCAGAAGTGAATTTCTAGATTTTTCAAAATTAAACAGAATCTTCTTAATAGTTTCTATATCATTCTTTCGGTTTTCACAGGGCACTATAATTTCACTATATTTATTAAAATAAATGTATAGGATTTTTTTTAAGTATCCTCGGTGGACAGTAAAAATTTAATATTACAGAACAAGTGCAGAGATATTTTCATTTCTAAATTTCTATTCATGTGTCTCAATATTAACGATTATATACCAGCTGATAGTGAGACACATATTCCTTTATAGTATCTTATTGTGTCAGAAAATTCGCTGCAATTTAAGTTTCTTGAGATAAATTCACAAATACTGAGTAGCTAAAATTCTCATGTTACTATACATATCTTCAAATTATATCTTTGGTGTTCGTTTCTTGGATTACTTCCAGTACATGAAGACTTGAATTAGTGCCAGTACTTCCATCTCAGCTTTCAAAAGTGTCATAAAATTACATCAAAATATAGGATATAAAGTGAAGATAAGTGATCCAAAAAAATTCACTGAAAAACCCATTAGAAATCTCGTTAAGTGAAGTCAGAAGTAAATGAATCGCGTTCCTACAGATATAGCTACTCTAAATCTATCACACGCGTCTGGAATATAAATTGAAAAATCTTTCTTAGCTAACTGCTGCAGCTGTTAATCCCACGGAATATCAGGTAGAAAGATATTTGGTGCCTGCCACGTGTGAATTAGTAGCGGCCAGTAGCAGACTATATCTACGTGCACCTCCAGGACACGAGATTGTTTCGCGAAACAACACGGAACAATGGAGATTTCAACGCGCAATAAAGAAAGTAACTTACAATATCCACGTGTCACAGCCAAATTTACCCCTGGTGATGCATCACAGCGGCTCTAGACGAGTCTTCCAGTGCTGCCCACGGCGTTATTTTTAGCATAGGCGAGGTTCGAACATGAAGCCTTCCGGCTGCGCCGTGAGACAGGGTGCAAACGGATGCCGCATGGCACCTCTCAGCGGCCGCCGTCCGCGCCCTGTCCGCGCCGGTGTCTGGGCCGTGCCGCTGTCACTCTCAACAACAAACACTTCGACCTCGACCCTCCATTGTTATTCGCGGCAGCTGCGGGGGCTTAGAAACAGAATTTCGAAACTTTCTCACGCGGGATATTCGCGCCACGTCCCTAATCGCTAGATTGCGAATCAGAACAAGCTAAAATGAAAATTACACAAACGATAGCACTGTTTCTTATTCTACTGAAAATAATGGCTCGTCACTTATTCATTATGACAGTATATTTTTATATTTAATATTAAATGTACTTAATTCTACATCATTATTTAGATGTTCAAGAGTTTTGTATGTATATTTTCGGTCGTTGGCACAGAGAAAGAAAGAGGTTAATTTTACAGTAATTGAAATTTTTCTCGCAAGAAAACACAAATTCCACGAACGAGAAAATGTGCTAATGTCAGCGCCTGTGTCCAAATCTTTTTCTCTAATCCCACGCAAATTTTAGCGCGTGTACAGCCGCGGTGGTATTTTTATGACACGCGTCTAGGGCAGCAAGGTGTAAAAATATTCGCGTACGCGGCGGCCGCCTCCCCGCCCCGCCTCGCCCCGCCTCGCCCCGCCGGCGCGGGCCTCCGCAACTCCATCGCCGCCTCCGCCGGCGCTGTGACCGCAGAGTGCACATTTTTGGTGCTCCACTGCGGCGGCGGTCGCGGTGGTGGCGGTGACGGCGGCGGCGGCGGTGGTGGTGGTGGGTCGAGGGTCGGCGTCGGGCGTGGGTCGCGCCTGGCTCTCGGCCGACCGCCGCCGCAGCCACCGCCTCTCCGCCGCCTCACCACCGCCGCCTCCAGAAGTTATTTCTGGAGTGCACCTGACTCACGCTCGGCCCCGCTCTCCGGTTGCTGGGCGGACACCCGAACCGCGCGTTCGAAACTCTCCACCGCTCCGACTGGCCCCAACGGCTGACGCGACGCGGCGACGAAAAACCACGCGCTGACGCGGGTGTTTTCCAGTCGCGCGGTCGTAAAAACGTCGCGATCGCCTGTTTGATGAATTTAGGCCCTGAAAACATCCACGACACGACGCATGAAAAATTATGTTTTTATGTTATTTGTTCGGATTTTTAGGGAGAATGACTAATCCCAGATACCAGACCGATCGAGTTATTTTTCTTATACTATTTAAGAGCTGCGAAGTCGATGAATGAGCAGAAAATTCTGTATTCGAAAAAAATGCAATAAATTTTTTGTCTGTGGAGGGAGTTCAGAACTGGCTTCACGTTCGCCTTCTATTAACGACAAAGTCATATAATTTCGAGCCTTTAGTTGCGTTTGTATGATAAAAAACGATAATAGCATGTCCCCCTGACCTGCAACACAGATTTTACCCCATCGCTGGGGTCTGCGCCTGGGGGCCTAGTGACCTGTAGGTGCGGGCGACCTAGATCGGCGGCGGGGTGGGCGACCTGACCCACGGCGGGCCGCACCGCCGATCAAGGGCAGCGGAGCGGTAAGCCGAAACCGCGGCGGGACGTGTGGCGCGCCGCCAGCCGGCCGGATATAGCCCCCGGGGGCGGCCGCGAGGGGCGGCGCGGGGGCCGGAATTAATAACGCGCACGCGGCTCGCGAGTTATGTCTCCCCCTGGCATGCCTCGCTACTTGCGGGAGCCCCCGGCCGGCCTGTGAGATGGCCCACGCCTTCCACGTTATAGCTCCTTTCTGAGCGAGGTTGGGAGTTTCTTGTTCGGAACCGGGTATTCATGTAACCCAATCGAGCCTCTGATATTCTTCAGCGACACTCGATAAATGGAGGAACTTACTAGGAACCACTAATATTACACCACGCGTTATTGTAAAAGCAAACCTCATGTATTAAACACTAAAGCCAATCGTTAAAGCAAAATTTCGTCGGGAGATATTTAAAGGAACCGGATAAGTGACAACTATTTGAAAAGTAGAGTACTGGGAAACAAATGACACAAAGGAACATCTGGGCTTCTCGGAAACCGCGAAGATCGTTTATTTTCCGGCGCTGCAATCTCACTGCTGCCCTAGAGCCACCCGCTCGAATTATACGCCCAGTTCAACGAAACGGAGCCTGCTATTAAGGCGCGTTTATTTTTTGTGCGGGCGCGCGCGTACGCTGAGGTCAGCGGGAGGCTCCACCGCCCTCGCACGCGCGCCCACTCCGCTTCGTTGGCACAGGGGCGGCGGCAAGAGCAGACGACCCGCTGCATTAAGATCCGCACGCGAGCCTCATAAACCGCAAGCGCCGTAAACGCAGCTGCCCCGAGACTAAACAGCGGCGCTGGAGCTTCCGCTCGCGACCCACACGGAACCGGAAACTCTACAGATCTCTTTTCTTGAACGTTCGTTGAAAATTTGGGCATATACAGTTTCAGAACCACAAAGCAAAGCGATGTACGCAATTTGCGAGGAATGAACGCTAATATATTCTTTACTGCGGTTTTACTAAATTGGATTCATTCGGCTTAAATTCTTTCAATTCATTTATTGGGTTAGACTCGTACTTATCGCATTTTTTTGCTAATTGTCTCGAACGTTATATGATCGTTAAAGTAGCATTTAAATTCTAAAAAGTGTTCAGTCGTATATAATTGGAAGGGATGGAAGGCATTATTATATACACCAAATGGTGACGGTTCAGACAAATTGGAAATGTTAGTACAATGAAGTAAATCACGATTTTTGGAAAAGTAAAAACAATATAATGACGTCCATACAAATTCCAACTAGCAGACAAAATTCACACATCTGACTCATGAGGAGGGCGAGAAAAAGCAAATGTTCGGCAATCCGGCAGAAAATGTCTAGCTTCGCCGCCGATGCAGATCCCGAACCACGCGGCAGGCCCTTCAATCGCGGGCGCAGGCTGCGAGACACCCCTGGCGGGGCGGTAAACAGGCGGAAGTGTTTGGCCCGTGAATCACCCCTTCCACCGGCGTGATTCACTCGGCGCTCCCCCTCCCCCCGCTCCCGACGGCCCCTCCGGACGGATTCCAGCTCGGCCGTTAAAACGCCGCTCTGGAAATAGACGCCGCCCGCCAGCGCCGCCGCCGCGGCCGCCCCACGGAACTGAACGTATACGGGCCGCGGCGTCGTAGTCCGCCGCGCTCCTCGGAACGTCTATTCGCGTCGACCTCCCTGCGATTCGCCCGCCTTTCTCTACGACCTCTCCGCTCTGAGAGAATCGTTTGAACTATTTTCGAGCCCCCTTTTCATTCTCTCCTGGATTCGCATGGCGAGCAATTCGCTGCGCGTCTAAGAGGAACGATTTTAACGTTCGAAATGCACGAAATGACGTATCGCTTTAAGAATTCGCTTGGAAGTTAAGAGAAACGAGTTACTTTGTACAAAACGGATTGGTGGAGCGGAGTAGGAATTTTGACGTCTGCTCATTCCAGTACACCGAATTACCATTTCGTGTTGCCAGTTTAGAGAAGGGAAACAAGCGTATCATTCATACGTTTCATTCGATGAACGGCTAGACACATATCATCTTTCAAACATAAGTCAAAAAACACTAAAATTACTTCTTTGTATTACATGTGATGCCTCATTGTTACACTAGGTAAATGTTAGGTAAAAAAGTGTAAAAAATGAGCTATTTGTGAAGTGAAATTACCGTACAAAAATTATACTTATAAATGATTCGATATATTTTTTGTAAAAATCAGTGCATGAGAGATATGGGTGAAAAGAAAAAGGATGGCTCAAAGAAACGTGCGCCTTATGAAGATATGTATTTAGCCCAGAAACAAAAGCAGGTTCCACCTCAACATAGGCTCAATGATTCAGAGAAACTGGACAAAGAAAACGATCGCGGTAGGGATAAAAAGAACGTGGGCGAACAAAATCCAAAAGTGAGACATATTTTCTTAAAATATCCTACTTCGCGATGCAGTCATGGGCGGGCGACACAAAACTGCAGACGGAGAATCCAGGCAAAACCCGTCCGCCACGTAACCGCCGGTTGCGTGTCGCCTGGATGCGCCACCTTCGCGTTGCGGTCGCGGTTAAATCGGGTCGCGTGGCACGCGGCGCCGCTGCGGCTCCTGCCGGAAGACGCGCCGCGCCAAATCTGATACGCGCGCGGCGTTCCGCTCACAATGCGCGGCCACGCCAGATCAGATCTCGCGTACAATGAGGCGGCGCGCCGCGACGGCGGCGAGTAATGGTTGCATGAAAGCGCGCCGTTGTAGTGAGCTGCCAGCCATTCACAGGGACAACTCCTTCTCCCCGTGTACGAAGGCCTGCGGCACGGTTAAAAATACGCAACGGTGCGGGCACACTGCGGGAAATAAAAAAAGCGAAAGTACTTACCTCAGGTGGTTGAACCACGAGAGACCGCGTCTTTGGCAGATACCCCCAGTGTGACGATACATTTTTTGCACCTCGTTAACTCGTCTGTCATGGCAAGAGTGTCAACTTTTCAGACGAATTTTGGTTGTTTCCATGGCACCCGACATCACCAGAGCTGCAACCTCACGCGAGCTTTAGGTCACAGACGTCTTCTCCTAAATTCGATCCCGACCGTCCTCTCCTGGGGACAGAAAAAGTGGCACATGTGATTCCTAGGTCGTCTATAATTAGCGCGGTGATCGACGAGTCGACGAGAGAAGTGCGATTAGAAAAAAAGTCGTAAACCGCAGGATGTGTTACTTTAAATGCCGCGCGCGTCGTGGGATGAGATGTGGTTTTCTGAGGCACTTGCAGCTGAAAGCTTCTTGACACAAACGATGTCTCAGCCCACGCAAGAGGCTTTCGTGGACGCCGGCCAAAGTACACATGCAAAGGATAATGAGATGCTCATACACTCATCACGCGGCTAATTGTTTGGCGACATCATCTGCATAATGACGTGTGAGAACTGAGTACTTTCTGCACATTTCTACACATCATCAATTTTCTCTGAGAGAAATACAACTTCTGGAAATAACTACTGATGATTTAGTTTGTTCACTAAATTTATTGGCCCAGTTACACACCAAACTTTGCAATTATTTAACATAACAAAACAGATATTATAGTATTGATTATCAAATAATATACAAAACTTTTATGCTCCAAGCTAATATTTCCGTTTAGTATTGGTGCATAGATTTGCATTTGAAAATTTCCTTCAAAATTAAGTTATTCACATTTACAAGAATGTTTGAAACTAAATAAATGTGATATTTGCAATTCAATAGCAAGTATTTTATAAGATAAAATAAATAAATTATTTCAGATGCATAAAGTCTGTAACTTTTTATACATGTAAATAAAACTATTCGTCCCAAAGCAGTATATCTCAGAGAAAATTGTACTGAATCAATCTTTATTGCCGGAGGAGAAACTGGTTAACTAACATGAGTCGCCTTCTGTCACCCACAGGACACCCAGGAGCGCCTGCAGCAGGAGGAGGATGCCCGCAACCAGCTCTTCCAGAGCAAGAAGAAGCTCGAGCAGGAGATCTCCGGCCTGAAGAAGGACATCGAGGACTTGGAGCTGTCCGTCCAGAAGTCCGAGCAGGACAAGGCCACCAAGGACCACCAGATCCGCAACCTCAACGACGAGATCGCGCACCAGGATGAGCTCATCAACAAGCTCAACAAGGAGAAGAAGAACCAGTCTGAGAGCACGCAGAAGACCGCTGAGGAGCTCCAGGCCGCCGAGGACAAGGTCAACCACCTGAACAAGGTTAAGGCCAAGCTCGAGCAGACTCTGGACGAGCTCGAGGACTCTTTGGAGCGCGAGAAGAAGCTGCGGTAAGTACAACACTTGTAACTTACAACTCCTTGTTCACTTATACATTTCCATCCATATACACACTTAAGAACAAGATTTTTTGGAAAGACTTTTAATATTATTTATACGTCATATTTGAGAACATTTTTCATTATTCAACATCAACAAAAATAATTGTCTTCCTAAAGAATACATCATCAGAAATTATCTCGTAGAAAATCCACGCCTTTCAAACGATAACATCTTTACATAAAGTCTTGTTGTAACACATCCCTGAACATGTAACGAGGGAGTAGTCATGTAGGTTCTCTTGTACTTTACCGCATTCATTATCAAGATTCTCAAGATTTCTTACGATACCAAATTATTTATTTCCTTATAAAAGTATTCTTCGCAATTTGAGATTGTTGCTGAGATAGTTATCTGTAATGTATGCAGTTTCTGATGAGTTTCACACTATTTTTTTACTGACCCACTCAAATAACTCAACATTCATATCAATATTCTACCATATAAGAGGGCACCTCATGACCGCAACACTCCTTTTTTGTCTACAGCGGTGATGTTGAGAAGGCCAAGCGCAAGGTTGAGGGTGACCTGAAGCTGACCCAGGAGGCCGTGTCCGATCTGGAGCGCAACAAGAAGGAGCTCGAGCAGACCATCCAGCGCAAGGACAAGGAAATCTCTTCCCTGGCCGCCAAGCTGGAGGATGAGCAGTCCCTCGTCGCCAAGCTGCAGAAGCAGATCAAGGAACTGCAGTCTCGCATCGAGGAGCTCGAGGAGGAGGTCGAGGCCGAACGCCAGGCTCGCGCCAAGGTGAGTCCCCTCGCCTCACCACCACCACCACACGCCCGGTGATTTACGTCGGAATCGTAAAATCTTACGATCGCGGGAAAGAAAACAAAATATTTAGTATTCGCAGTAAATTAATAGCAACGCTGTACGACGGCATGTATTAGGAAAAAACATCACAAACTAGTCAGAAACGACACAGAATAAATATATCAGAAAATGAAATATTACAAAAACAAAAACGCATTACGTCAAAATCTTATGGAAACAATATTTAGAAATAATATAGGGACACTTCTTTTGACTCCACTGGATACTTCGTCAGTCCCACTCAATTTCAAAAGAAAGATGATGCGTCTATGGGTTTCCTCCGGAAGCCGACGATGGGGTGGGTCTCAAGTCGGCACTTAATGAAAAAGATAATGCACAGGAATAGAGATGGGCTATTGTCTCTGAAACGCACGGACTAGGAAGGATTGCGAGGTGATAGCAGTCTATTACAGACTCAAGTGTTCAGCTTAAAAAATGTGTGTGAACATGCATTTAGCGTAGGGACACTTCTTTTAGATATATGATCACATTTTAAATGCATCAATTCTACGTTATGTAAAACACTGTTTACATTTGAAAAAGAAAAATATTCATACATCTAAAAGTTTTCAAAAAATATGGGATTTTTAACAACAATTACTGAAAAAGAATCCAGTAATAAACGAATTTGTTGAAGAAAAAAATACCGTTCCATGAAATTGAGCTTCGATTCTTCGGTGGAAATCTTAGGCAAACGGAATAATTTTGTGAGCCCTATGTAACGCGTTCGCTTCCCCGTGTGCCTCAGGCTGAGAAGCAGCGCTCCGACCTCGCCCGCGAGCTGGAGGAGCTGGGCGAGCGCCTGGAGGAAGCCGGCGGTGCCACCTCCGCCCAGATCGAGCTCAACAAGAAGCGTGAGGCCGAGCTCAGCAAGCTGCGCCGCGACCTGGAGGAGGCCAACATCCAGCACGAGAGCACCCTGGCCAACCTGCGCAAGAAGCACAACGATGCCGTGGCTGAGATGGGCGAGCAGATCGACCAGCTCAACAAGCTGAAGGCCAAGTGAGTAGACAGCCCCCTATTGCACACATGGGCAGCGCCTGCGAAAGTTGGCGATACCACCCGATAAGCACATCTTTCAAGCGGGTTATCTCCCAGTACAATTGCAGGGGATTCAAAAACATTCCCGAGTGAAATGATACGGTCGGAAAGGGAAAAATACTCAATTGAACGCCCTAACAATACATATTACAGAAGCATATATAATATTCTGTAATTACAATTTCTAAATGTTAATCATTAGATTGTTTACAATAGATGCAGTTCAATGGGTAGTCATGGAATTTTAAAGAAGTCCTTTCACTTTGGTGCAACGGAATAATCAAACAATCGCCACGAAAAAAACTTCCGAATAATTGGTGCAAGGAGAAAAAATATTTATGTAACCATTACTCAAAAACTGTTTATTTCAGGATTGTTCCTCATCAAAGCTTTTGCTTACTTTCTGCTTGAGTGAGAAGTCGAGTGTATGAATGTAAATGTTTGTAAGTGACGAAATGCTATTGATAGTACCGATTCCGTACTTTGCATTGAGTGCCAAGAAAACCAAGCACAGCTTTCAGTTCACTGTCAGAATGAGAGTTGTATACGGGAGTGTGATAGAACGAGTGAAAGTGATATCCGAATGGTGGAGCGAGCGAGAGCGCGAATCTTCTGGAAAAGCGTGAGTTGTGCGAGCGGGTGCTGACGCCATGTCTGCCACAGGGCCGAGCATGACCGCTCCTCTGCCATCAACGAGCTGAACAACACCCGTGGCGCCATCGACTCCTTGGCTCGCGACAAGGTAACCCCCCTCCCCTCTCAGCCCTGTCGTAGCGGCATGGAAGCGGCATGGACCCCTCCGCGGCCCGGCCCGCCACGGACCCCGCTCACCACCTCGCCCTGCCTCGATTACTCTCTACATATACCAAAATAAAAAAAAGTAATGTAATCAGACCACTCCAATCATTCATGTTGATCTAACAACATTGGGAATGAACATTCGAATTTTTCAAATATACAGGACTCAGGCGGATACCTGTACTTTCTTTGACATATTGGAAACTAAATTATTTACGTGTTCATTAATTTTAGTTTTACACCCGTTTCTTAAAAAGATATTTTCAATTTATTACTGCACTACATCGCTGTATATTCAAAAATATTATTTCAGAGATTGTATTTCCGCTTTTAAATTAGATTGCTCTAATTAAGTGTTCTATTTTAAGATCTTATGATTTATGTCAGGTAAAGCTTAAAATAATTCATAAGAGTTAATTTTACTGCTGAATAGTCAGTTTGTTACGTATTTTTAGAGCAATAATTCCTTGTCCCGAATTCGCAGTCAGGTAGGCCGGGGGTGGGCGTGGTCCTGGCGAGGCACATCTCCTTCAGTAGATTTGGCAACCCTCCATTCTCTACAAACAGAGACACCGGTCTTCGAGCAGAAACAACAGCAGCATGAGATCCCCACTGAACCCCTTGTGTCTGTGTCCATATTGTGTTCTCTCCCCCTCACGAACACTTACCGGGATGGCGAACAACCAGTAAACTCTGTCCGTGTTTGGCTGCAGGGCTGAAAAGGATAAGGCCCAGTTCGCTGCCGAGTTGAACGACCTCCGAGCGGGCGTCGATCATTTGGGCAACGAGAAGGTACCGGAGTGGCTTTCGTGTTTCTGAGTTCTGCTGACACACTCACAGGAGCAGTGGTGGCAAAGTTGCAGAAGCAGCAGTAGCAGTAACCTTGTACAAAGAGTCGCTAACGCCACGAGCAGTCGCCGCTGAAGAAGCAAACTCACACCATTCGTCGTTTGAACCCTTTGACCCACAGTACGTTCCAGCCCCTCTGTATCGATAACTTCCCGCAGAACGCCTCTGTAACATTGTGTCCGCACAAGTGTGTTGGTAACTCTATGGACGACCGCAGTCAGTGGTCGGTGCTCCTAACGCAGCCTGCTGACCCTAACATCTCTGTGACTAACGGAGTGTCTGTGTGATGTCTTTTTCAGTTCTGGCCCGGACGATTCGCTGGGGGGCAAATATACACGGCTTGTCTTTATTGACATCATGCCGTATATTTATCAGACGGATAGGCTTGGCGATAACTGTGAGGAACATTAAATAAGGAAGATGTGGGTAATATACTAAACGAAATCAAAAGTAATCAACGAAATAAACGCCAGAATATCGGTTGCGACTTTAAAATAGAATGCGAATTTCTTGATGAAGTGTTAGACTAGAATAAAAGTAGAGAAAAGATCACTGGTCACTAGACTAGAGCCACCTGGAAAATATCCGTAATCGTAAAATATTTTTTATTTTCAAATATATATTATGTAAATATAAAATAACTATAATAACATATAATAAACTTATTAGTATAGTATTTTACATTCCTGTTAATGGCGACCGAAATGACAGTGATTAACTTATAGAAATAATAATTCGCCTAGCTTTTACACATTGCTTTCGATCGGGTTTGAATTTGTCAATTTGAAGGAATATAATTTCAGAGCCATCTGCAGAGAAATACCTAATTATGACATAAATCAATCCCAATCTCTCCGCGTCATTAATTCGAAATCATTTTCCTTCCAACTCGCTCCATCGGAGCACTCCCTGCTCGAGTCCCTCGTGCGCAGCGGCTCATCCATCGGAACGCTGCGGACTTTCTCTCTCGCGGGCGCGGGATCCCGCACGGGAAGGGAAAAAGCCGGGCGGCCGTTCTGGACAGGGGCGCCCGCGGCCGAGGCCGTGGCTGGGGGACGGCGCGCTATTTCGGGGACCACTGGCCTGCACGACTCCTCCAACGCCGCGGGCTGTTTACGCGCCTGTCGGACTTGGGAATGACGTCATCGCGCCGCTGCCGTCCAGCCTGTTCGCTCGCCCGACGTCAGTTTCCGGTGGAAATGCCTGATACTATAAAAAATAATTAAACCGTCTAAAACTTTAAATTCAATTAATCAAGAAACAATAATAAAATTGTTTTAATCAGTCGTTGCTAATGTTCTTCAGTCCTCTGGCAAAAAGCACAAAATGTTGACAAAATATTACCTACATGAATAAAAGTAGTAATACACAGTATAATGCCCAAACTTTGGGGTGATATCTATTCATCTTATAAAAATGAAAAAAAATATTTCATCTGAAGAAATATTAATTTCCAATTCAATTAGCTCCGATGTATCCATTTGGCTACGTAATATTCGTAACTACTGTGTAATCTCGTTTTCCAAATCTATTTTTGGCTGCTCAAATTCGTTTCGTTAAGATTCCAAATTCCCCAGTATGCGACGAGATTCTGACGCCCATTCCGGGCCCCACCTGCCCCAAATATTTGCGACCACGCCCCCTCCTCCAAAATAGCCCTCGGACGCGGTGCTTGCGGCCCTACGCGCTGTCCATATAAGCCGCCCGCGACCGCCCGGGCGCCTTTGCTCTGTCTGTCCACAGGCGCGCGGCGCCCACGCGCTTAATAAAATATATAAACACTCGTCGCGCGGTTTGTTAACACGACGCGCCCAAACGGCCGCCGAGAGGTTGCAAATAATCATTACGGGGCCGTGACGAGCCCCGTTCCCAGGAATTTTATTTCCAGGTCTAATAACCGTAATGTGTTGGAAATAGTCTGGTACTTAGTTTTTGGCCACGAGAAAATATACATTTCTCGAAATGTTTTCACAATATTATCCCAGCACTTTTTTTACGGAGCGAGGAAAGATATTATTTCCATAGTCCAGTTTTTCCATCCCCAAAACACCATAACCATCGTATTCTACGAACAGTAATTAAATACATAATTTCAAAAATAACATTTTTTACTTAAAATAAAACAAATATATACTCAAAAAATTGAATCACAATGCTAGAACTAGTACTAAAATAATTGTACTTCGTACAATAAATATTTCAATAAACGGACATTATATAACAATCGACGGAATAATTCTTAATGAGCAATTAATAAATCTTGGAACAATTATTCGTAATTATTATTTGAAGCAAACAAACAGGAGAGAATCAGTAAAAACGAAACATAGGGTTATCCGAAGGGCCAGAACTCACGGTTAGGCGCGCCCTTGGCAACGGAACCCAAAATTTAACCGTCCGTTGCTCTCCGCCCACTCCAGGCCGCCGCCGAGAAGGTCGCCAAGCAGCTGCAGCACAACCTCAACGAAGTCCAGGGCAAGCTGGATGAGTCCAACCGCACCCTCAACGACTTCGATGCCGCCAAGAAGAAGCTCAGCATTGAGAACAGCGACCTCCTGCGCCAGCTCGAGGAGGCTGAGTCTCAGGTGTCTCAGCTTAGCAAGCTCAAGATCTCCCTCACCACCCAGCTCGAGGACACCAAGCGTCTCGCCGACGAGGAATCCAGGGTACGTACGCGCTGTCTAATCAACATCGCACCAAACAGAAATTCCCTTTTTCCATTCGTATATTAAATTTTCCTCGTAAATAAATTATTACAGTTTAAATTGTGCCTCCATGTAGAATGTTCGTATTACTTTTTTAATAAAAAATATTTAATTGGACTTTTGTTTTCAAAATTTCATTCCATTACTTTTAATCATTTCACATCTCTTCGTAACAAACTAATAAGATTTCAGAAAACTGAAAAACGTTTGTCTTTCGAATATCAAATTCTCCCCATCAATAAATTACTCTCATCTAATTCACGGAAAAATTCAATACCTTTATTTTACTTTGTCAATACCAGTGTTTATATTTTCTTTTTTTCTTCATTTCCTCCCTTCACATTTAATTGCTCCACATTTCTTCGTAAACATTCTTCTTGGGAGATAGTTTTTTTACATCCTTAATGTCTAAGCCAAGGCGCTGGTGTTTGAATCCTAACGACGTGTGCTCTCCTTCCCGCAGGAGCGCGCGACCTTGCTGGGCAAGTTCCGCAACCTGGAGCACGACTTGGACAACATCCGCGAGCAGCTGGAGGAGGAGGCCGAGGGCAAGGCTGACATCCAGAGGCAGTTGAGCAAGGCCAACGCCGAGGCTCAGCTGTGGCGCTCCAAGTACGAGTCCGAGGGAGTCGCCCGCGCCGAGGAGCTCGAGGAGGCCAAGTGAGTACCGCAACGCGAGCGACACACGACGGCGACGTCCACCGCACTCTCGCGCTTGAAAACCCCTTCGTGACACTCGACTTCGCGGAGGAACTACCAGACACAAGACTCTGATGCGTAGCACTTGACAACGTGGTGAGCTAGTTTTCACTTTGTGACATGCCTTCTTTCTCTCTCTGCGACACGGCATAACTTCACAGAATGGCTTACCGATTCAGAGCTTAACGACTTAAATATATTTATCCTTCCAACAATTTGATTTTAGCCCGGTTCTCCCCAAAGTCAGCATTTACAATTGCATTTATATTTTTAAGAAGCTATTTATAATAACTGAGAACGTGCTAAATAATCTGTTGAAACGACATTTTTGAAAACTCTCATAGAAATATTTTACATCATTGCATTTCATTGACCACATGTTCTCACATTACCCAAGTTGGGTGTAAGATGCAGTAAGTAGATATTCCATCAACTTTTGAATGTATTATCTCTGGAATATATTATATATTTTTTCCTTTTTATAACTTTTCATTATTTTCAATTGCACAAAAATATCGCCCTAAGGGATAAATACGGACTTGAAAAGACTGACTAAAATACCTCATACATAGATATTGTAATGATACAATTGTTACAATGTTTGTGTATATGACAAATAGTAAGAGTTGTGTATGAAAAATAGTAGTTTGTAGTAAATAAATCGTGTCGTTTCTGCCCTCTGGATGACCCTCCTCTCCAGTTCCAGTGAAACGTTTAGACAGAAAAGTCGTAATACACTCGACTGTAGTTGTGATGCGTGCCCACCTTTCATGCCCCATTATCTGTGTGTATTTCCATGTATGTATGTGTGTGGATGTGTTTCATGCGTGTCGTTTGTGTCCGCCAGGCGCAAGCTGCAGGCCCGCCTCGCCGAAGCCGAGGAGACCATCGAATCCCTCAACCAGAAGGTTGTCGCCCTGGAGAAGACCAAGCAGAGGCTGAGCACCGAAGTCGAGGACTTGCAGCTGGAGGTTGATCGCGCCAACGCCATCGCCAACGCCGCCGAGAAGAAGCAGAAGGCCTTCGACAAGATCATTGGCGAATGGAAGCTCAAGGTCGACGACCTGGCCGCTGAGCTGGATGCCTCCCAGAAGGAGTGCCGCAACTACAGCACTGAGCTCTTCAGACTGAAGGGCGCCTACGAGGAGGGTCAGGAGCAGCTGGAGGCTGTCCGCCGTGAGAACAAGAACCTGGCCGGTGAGTACTTTGCCCTACACTTCCCTTCTGGCATCTCATATCCACATAATATACACGTATTAACTCAGTAGAAAATGGTTTGAGAATTTGGCTCTTTATAATCATATCATTCAAGGGCTGAAATAGTGACACAACTCAAAACTACGAATTTTGAGTTAATAAACTTTCCAGAATGTCAAATTGGTTTACCTCACAGCCACAACAACAGCATATTTTACAGTACAAATTTTCACCAATAAGTGACAGAAGTGTGAATTCAACATTGATGCATTTCAATTGACGGTGAAAACTTCAAACTAATATATTTCAACAGCTGATTTTTTAGTTGTGCCACTATTACAGTCCACGAAATACTTTGTTACGCAATAAACAAAGAAAATATTATAATTACAAAAAAATACATCTTATTAGACAACTTGATTTGTTCAGTTTCTTTAAGTATTTGATATTTCTGTTAAGAGATTATACTATTTTTTCTGGTTGAGGCATGCTTCCGCAATAAGATATTTCATAGCTATAATTCTTTATCTACTTACAATTCATACATAAGGCAAACCACTCAATAATACAATACCTAACAATTGGTGACTCTGTGCGCAGATGAGGTCAAGGACCTGCTGGACCAGATCGGCGAGGGTGGCCGCAACATCCACGAGATCGAGAAGGCCCGCAAGCGCCTGGAGGCTGAGAAGGACGAGCTGCAGGCCGCCCTTGAGGAGGCTGAGGCCGCCCTGGAGCAGGAGGAGAACAAGGTCCTGCGCTCTCAACTGGAGCTGTCTCAGGTGCGCCAAGAGATCGACAGGCGCATCCAGGAGAAGGAGGAGGAATTCGAGAACACCAGGTACGTCTTCCACTCGCTCACTTTCATTGACTTTCTCTCAGAGGTTCAACAACACTCCTCTCTATTACATAATCAAGCAAGGACTGTACACGTAGATTCAGATTAAAACTCATAAAAGAAGTTTCCAATTATTTATGGTTCATAGACATAGGAAAGTAAGTTCAATTGGTAAAGAAATTCTTGATGAACTGTGCAATATCCTATCGACTGATCGGATATAACAAGAGAAACTTCAGATAAACCTCCTAAAGGGGAAAGTACTCTTTATTACTTCATACGATTCTCCGCTCTAGATTGCTTTAGAGAGATCTATATCGGTTCTTTACAGCAGTAAATAGTTTTCACTTGCAACTAGTGAACAAAGAATATACACATGCAACATTAATATACTCAAATGTCTTATTCATTCGTTTGCAATTTGGTATTTGGGCTTAGTGATAGTTTGTAACCTCGAGCGCTTTTCCCCTTGCAGGAAGAACCACCAGCGCGCTCTGGACTCCATGCAGGCCAGCTTGGAGGCTGAGGCCAAGGGCAAGGCCGAGGCTCTGCGCATGAAGAAGAAGCTCGAGGCCGACATCAACGAGCTGGAGATTGCCCTGGACCACGCCAACAAGGTAAGCACACCATATAACACACACACGCCTAGCTTCTGGTACAAACGAACCTATCCATACACGAATTCATAGAAACAACACCACACTTAATCAAACGTCCAGACCAATAACATATAATAGGGTACATATAAATTAATAGAATTATATTGATCAATATTTTAATATGATTGAAATCATTTTGAAGACTAAAAACTCAATCCAACTTAGCGGCATGATTATTTCCTCTTAGTTCGATAATAATATCCCTATCATGTTTTCAAGAACAATTCATTGTGTCTTTTAAACTGAATATAGTACATCGTGAGTGCAATCTCTCCTTACAATACAACCGTTCCTGGAGGGGGTTGTTACAATCATAATTCATAGTGCGTACCAGACAAAACAAATACTCCAACTCAGCTAAACATCACAATTTTCGAATGCCTTGTTTCCCTCCACACAACTTTCAGTAAAACGCAAACCCTTTCAATCTCTTATTGCATGCACGAAGGGAGCATAGACGTGACGAGCCGACTGTCATTGCGCAGGCTAACGCCGAGGCCCAGAAGAACATCAAGCGCTACCAGCAGCAGCTGAAGGACATCCAGACCGCCCTGGAGGAGGAGCAGCGCGCGCGCGACGACGCCCGCGAGCTGCTGGGCATCAGCGAGCGCCGCGCCAACGCCCTGCAGAACGAGCTGGAGGAGTCCCGCACCCTCCTGGAGCAGGCCGACCGCGGCCGCCGCCAGGCCGAGCAGGAGCTCAGCGACGCGCACGAGCAGCTCAACGAGCTCAGCGCGCAGAACACCTCCATCTCCGCCGCCAAGCGCAAGCTCGAGTCCGAGCTGCAGACCCTGCACGTGAGTGCCTTCCCTACGTTACATTGGGCGATTTTCGATATTCAGTCTTACTCATTATATGCAGTAGCTAGACCGAAAGAAGGCAATATAAAATGATATGTATGATGAATTCATTCAGCATAATACTCAGTTCTTCGCAGGCAATAATCATAACGAATCCTATTGTCAGATATATTTAATTTTTGGTGGAAGGAATACTTAAATCCAGAGACAGATCTTCTTACCAGGATTACGTGGGCACTTTTTTTTTTTTCGGGAGATATCAGGATAAATATTTAGTAAAACATAATATGGAACTGATAAACAAAAGAGGTGCTATATGAAAATGGTAGGTAGATGAACGATTGAAAAATAAGGATTGACACAATAATATTCAATTATTTAGCAGCAATAATAATTATCTGTCTTAGTCAGTCAGGTACTTCAAAAAAACTTCTTATGATGATATAAAAATTAATTTCAGTTCTTTTCCTGCGAGTATTCACGAAATGTACTAGACATTTTTATCGGCTCATATTTTTGACACCAAAAATCTGCGAACAATTTCTTGGTTAGTCAGAACAGAATACATTCATGAATCTATTGATAAATTCAACTATTGTATATATTTCACTACAAAGAATAACCATTACTTTTGCAATGTTATAGTGACTGAACTGATTTCTGTATCTTTGTGTGCGCAGTCCGACCTGGACGAGCTTCTCAACGAGGCTAAGAACAGCGAGGAGAAGCCAAGAAGGCCATGGTCGACGCCGCCCGTCTCGCCGACGAGCTGCGCGCCGAGCAGGACCACGCTCAGACGCAGGAGAAGCTGCGCAAGGCGCTGGAGACCCAGAATCAAGGAACTGCAGGTCCGACTGGACGAGGCCGAGGCGAACGCGCTCAAGGGCGGCAAGAAGGCCATCCAAGAAGCTGGAGCAGCGCCGTGCGCGAGCTGGAGAACGAACTGGACGGCGAGCAGCGAAGCACGCCGACGCCCAGAAGAACCTGCGCAAGAGCGAGCGCCGCATCAAGGAGCTCAGCTTCCAGGCCGAGGAGGACCGCAAGAACCACGAGCGCATGCAGGACCTGGTTGACAAGCTGCAGCAGAAGATCAAGACCTACAAGAGGCAGATCGAGGAGCCGTGAGTACACACTTCCTTTCGAGAACAACTCCCCGGGATTACTTGAATGTAGTGAGGCTAGAATTCAACAAATTATTTCCAATTCATAGTTTTGACGTCCACGAATCAGAAGTGACAATTGCTATAAAGAACAATATTTAAAGAAGGAAGATTTATTTTTTTCAAAAAATATTCGTTTCAAGCCGTGAATAAAGATTGATTGTTATTCCTATTAGGGGAAATATAATTAGAATTCACATGTATCTGCATAACAGCACAAGAGAAAGTAAACGCTTGATACTCATTTGTCTATGAAAAGTGGGGGAGAGAGATAGAGGGAATGAATAAGAAAAAAATTAAAGAATTGGAAAATAACATAAAATCTGCAAGAATAGGAATGCTATTAGGAAAGGAAATTTAATATTTCACATGTTATGCGTTATATACGTTAGCTATTACAAGACGAGAACTTTATAATCTTGTTCCATTCTCGATTTCCCGGAGAACTTTCGGTCCTTTCTTTGCGGGGCCAGCGCCAACACCTCCAGCTTCGCTTGCGCCGGCGAGTGACTGACGCGACGCGACGCGCGTGTGCCCGCAGGAGGAAATCGCCGCCCTCAACCTGGCGAAGTTCCGCAAGGCGCAGCAGGAGCTCGAGGAGGCGGAAGGAGCGCGCGGACCTCGCGGCACCAGGCCACGCCAAAGTACCGCGCCAAGGGACGAGGTGGCTCTGCGGCCAGAGGGCTCTCCCCAGTGGTAAGTAACCGCCCCCGCACCCACCCACGCACTCTACGCTCCCACTCTCCCGTACGCGCACAAATGATTCTCTTTGTGACGTAGATTCCGTTTGGAAATAGATCAGAGAGCACTGAAAGTGCAACACAGTTGTCAATGACAAGACCTTTTATTCAAATATTTGGAGACATTTTATTCAAATATGAAGATCAGAGAACACTGAATGTGCAACACAGTTGTCAAAGACGAGACATTTTATTCAAGTATTTGGACTGACAACAATACTCTACCAATATATTATACATATATAATAAATCAATTCTGAAAGAGAAATTCCATTAATAATAACACGTTCCGAACAGAAATGAACGTGATGATTATTTGTTATTGATACATGTACTCAAAAAAACTTAGCTACCGATGCCCAGTAACAGGTAGTGACTCAGTACTATGTTGTATGTGAGCTCGCTGAGTGATCTTGCATCAGAGTAACCGGGAACCAGTTCAAACATTTTTGTTTTACGATACACATCCTCCGTACTTTCTAATGCCTCGTTAACATGCAATACAAACGGACAATACGTGAAGGTCAATCGCCTCAATAGAAAGAATGCATTAACTGAATGCAGCTTTGCTGCAACGCACGGACGCGGAGAAAGGATCTGGCTTATCTGACGGTCTAGATCGATGTAAACCCGGCGAGATCTTTTGATGACCATCGTACCACCCGACACCACCACCATCACCACCACCCAGCGTATTCGCCGGCGCATCCAAGCACTAAACTGTTTCGCGATGCGAAACCTCCCCCTGACCACGTACACGAATGAGAGCGAGAGAGTGAATGGATAGAGAGAGAGTGAAAGGGAAAGAGAGAGAGAGACATAGTGCGCGCGCCATGATCTGCGAGCCTCCGGTGACGACAACTGTTTTGCCCACAGCCGCAGTCTAAGGGCCGCAAAGCGGAGTAAATTCTGCGACAGTAAGTGTTCTACGTTGTGCCCCGACCCCAACTTCCGTGTGGTTTTGCTCAGTACCATGGTGCCGAAATCTTGTTTGGGAATTCATTCCGGCGTCCTCCTTAAGTGTTACCTCAGATTTATTAGCCCCGAACCGCATGTACAAATCAAAACTCCACGACTGTATTATACATTTGAAAATCTCCGTGTGGTCTTCCCTACCCTGTGATAGCTATCCTTCAGCATCTAGCCCGTCGTGTGATAGAAGGCCTGTGTACCAAACCAACGCCCGTAGCCCTGTTTCTCTAGGCTGTATGTGTACCTGGAAATCACTCCAGGTCAGCAGGTCCCTAGTTGCCCCCTCTCTATGTTCGCGTGTGTAGAACACCCGAGATGGATCGCGGGTATACCCTGTTGTGTGTGGTAGAAGTGTGGTGTGCAGTCCCCGAACGTGCCCGCCCACGTAGCCATAGCTGGTGTGCGGTGTGCGGTGTGCCCGAGTCTCGGGGTGCTGCTGTGATACGCCAGCGCCCCGGGGTGTTTGTAGAGTGTAGCGTGTTGTGATTTCGGGTGAAATGGCCCTCCTCCTCGTTACGCGGTCTTTGAGAATGCTTTTAGTACGCTTGTATATTGCTTGTACTATTAGGGCAATATATAGAATGATTGGAATTATAATAAATTATAAATAAATTTTAGAAAGAGAAAATAAAGTATTAGAATAAATTGCTTCAAATAATTAATTGTCGGATAATCTACAAAATCTTCAGATTTTTTAATTTTAGATTTTTGTATCATTGAAATGGTAGACAATTTGTAGAAATAAACAATCAACTTTTCAATATCTGTGTCTTTCTTGATAATATTTTATTATTCTTATTCAAATTCAAATAAATCTTCTTTTATCTAAAACTAAACCAGGAAGCTCTGTGTAATTTCTCTGGCGTTGTAAATCCGCTTTCAGCGGTAAAGTAAATGACCAAGGAAAGATATAACTTACGACTAGTCGAGAGTGGAGGGCAAAGAAATTAGAGGTACCCACCACAACCAGTGTCTAATGCTGTGCCTTCTTTTTGTTTAGCACAACCGACCAGTGCCCAGGCCCCAGCTAGACGGATTTCTGCAACACCCGGTGCATGCCGACGGGGATTTCTAGGCGCTGTGCCGACCTGACTACTATATAATAATTATTTTATAATTATTTATTGTCGATATCAATGTATTTATTTAATATTCCACCAAACATCCTTATATATATACAAACACAGATATTATGTTTATTATTATGTTATGCTGTCACGTGTGGATGTGTGAACAGTGTTATGAGAGCGGGGGTTGACCGGAGCCGAGCCCGGAGTTGCGCGAGCACGTACATTAGAGAACAGAAGCGAAGCACAAATTTTTGCCATCAAAAGGTTCAACTTGAGACACGCCACAGCCCTACTTTCGTTCGACGCGGCCCCCGGCTCGTCCGGCTCAGCCCCGCGCCGCTCTCCGCGGGACGTGACTTCTGCACAAGATCCGAATAAAGAAGTGCAAACGTCTTACTGTCTTCTTATTTGCTCCCCAAAACTCTACCCGTCCTACTCCTGCTTCATTCTGGCTAGATCTCTAGCGGGTGTGCTCCCTTAGAAACGTATTAATCTTTGGAGTCAGTTTAGTTTGCTCAAGTTGCTATATGAATGTGAAATGATGCCCGAAATGATGCTCCTGACCTCTTTATATCCTACTCCTGCTTCATATTGGTGCACATTCTGGCTAGATCTCTAGCATTTGTGCTCCCTAAGAAACGTATTAATTTTTGGAGTCAGTTTACTTTGCTCACGTTGCTCTGCAAATGTGAAGTGATGCCCGAAATGATGCTCCTGACCTCTTCACATCCTGCACCTGTTTCACCTGCTACAAATTTTGGACAGATCTGTAGACAGGTCTTTAAAATCAGTTTAGTTTGCTCAACGTCTATGTAAAAGTTAGGTGCTGCCTGAAATGATAATTTACACCTCTCTCTGACATGCTCCCGCATTATACTTCTACGAATTTTGGCTAGATTTCTAGTGTTTGCACTGTACAAAAAGCATACAGAACTGGCCCTTAGCAAGTTCAGCAAACTAAACTGACTCTATGTAACACTGAGGTGCTGCCCTAAATGATAATTCAGACCTCCATCTATCCAGCACTCGTTTAAAACTTTGACAATTCCTGGCAAGATTTCTGTCCAGGGTTTCGTTTGTGCTCCACAAGAAGGATGTAAAACTAGCTTTCATCATCAGTTCAGATTTCTCAGGTTGCTATGTAAAAGTGAAGTGCTGTCCGAAATGAAACCTCGTAACTCAAAGAATATAGTATACTCCTGCTTCAGTTTTTTACAAATTCTGGCTAGATTTCTAATGTTTGCACTCCATAAGAATCATATATAACTGGCCTTTAGTGTCAGTTTAGTTTGCTCTAGTTTGCTCCGTAAATGTGAGATGCTGCCCAAATGATATTCAGATCTCTGACCATCCTCATCCCGCTTCATATGGTTATTTCGTTAAAAAGAAGAAAATAAGTTATAAATATATCCCTCCCTTCCCTTCAATGAGAAAACAACACAGCTACATATACGTATACTTGCTATTATAACACCACTGATAAAACCTTGTATTCTGGCTCTATCTGTAGCGTTTGTGTTTCATAAGCAACCGTACCGGTCTTCAGTCAGTTTAGTTTTCATTAGCTCTGTAAATGTAAGGCACTGCCAAAAATTAGCCTTCAGATCCCATTCTACCTTGCAATGATCTCATTCTCCATTATGTTACCAGAAATTTTCGCTAGATCTCTACCTTTTGTGCTCTACAAGAAGCATCATGGTATGCAAATCATCGTAGTTTTTTAATGACGCTTAAGACGCTTTGAAAATATGAAAAGGTTTATGCTGAAATGAAAGTATGTCTTCCCTAAATTCACATACCCTTCAATGCCTGAATAGTATTTTTTTTTCTTCCATTCGTAACAAAATGTTTCTGACTGGAGTCATCAGGTATTTATCAGGCTTTACAAATGACTGATAAATTACCCATTCAGTTTCGTCGCACTTTCAATGAAGAGCTGGTTTGGGTCTGTTTTTTCAATTTCTTTGTTAGAGACTAGGTATAAATGAGAACCGAACAATTGGAATAAGTAAGGAAGAAGGAGATAAAGGGAATTTAGGAGAAAATGGGATTAGTTTCCTTAGAAATAAAAGGAGATCGAGCCTGCCAGGAACTAATAGATTCAGATCAAATAGAAAAAAACCCTTTGAATATATCGTCTAGAATTGACTTCACTACATGAATAAGAGAGAAGGCTTGAGAGATACAAAAAACAACGTCAAACCTGAATTGATCAATAGACGTTCCTTTACCGAAACTTAATTGCACGAGTAAGTCTCTAAATCAGTTTTAAGAAAATATAAAATTACGTGAAACGTTTTTGTTTATAAACATATGATGTTAGTAGTTTGTTTGTTAATGTAAATAATATTAATTTTATTTCTTGTAGCAAAAACAGCACTTGGGACCAACACAATATTGAAAACATTTTGTTAATATAGAAATGATTGTCCGTAGTATATAAGAATGAAATCTATCGCTGCATAAATTTGACCCAACTATTTAACGAATGGATTTCCTTTCGTTGGTTGGCTCTTCCGATTAGATGAAACGTGTCCTATGAGTGTCATGTTGCGTTATTCATGTGCTTCATCGTACATTCAATCACTTATTAAACTTCATTGGGAGCACAGTTTTGGTTTAAAATTTCATATTTCTGACAGGAGCACACAAAAAGTTGATTGATATAAAAAAACTTGAAAATATTTTTCACTGATGCGACACTTTTATCTAGTGGTAATGATGCTGTCTTGATGTATTTTCCAAAGCTTGACTAACACTGGGTATCTCTAATGAGGTGAGAAATTGTTTATTAGAAACGCCAGATAAAGTAAACGACATGACTAATTATCATACGTTTATGAAAGTCCCATCAACTAGACACAACTTTATATTAGCGATCCCAAAAATAAGGAAAGGAAAGTCTTAAGATTTTATGATTTTTTTTCGTTCAAAGACTTGTAAACAATTCCCCGAGTATAGTTTTAAAAGTAACTTACAGTTTTTAGCCTAACCATAATGACTCAAAACATGAATTTCAAGTTGTTTGAAGTATAAATAAAAGAATTAATGAAACTAGACTTCGTAATAGCTATTATCCTTCAGAAAGCGCTTTCACTGTAATAAATACCTTCTTGTTCTATAATTTTTGATACAAATAATTCTAATTATTTGAATGCGGCAGTTGGTTCCATTAGAATGTTGCCGATATTAGTATAGAGAATGAAACAAGAGCAATACTAATAACTCCGTTCCACTTGTGCTTGGGAAGAGAATGACTAATTAACTAGCAAGAACAACAACAAGAACAAGGATTGAGATCAGTTTCGCAAAGCTCACTACCTGCCCTCCAGTAAAAGAATATCGTATAGAGTTCAGTGATATATTGAATCCCTGAGTGTGAAAGACTATCATTTCTTCGAAGAGAAATAATTAATACACCGTAGTAGATCATAATGAAACCCCTGCCCCTGCATTGACCAACCTTTTTACATAAGACGCTCTACCAAGGGAGGGTTAAAAATGTCCAAAACATCAATGTGACGTCACAGGCTTTATTTACATACACATTGTAGTACGTATCTTCATTTTCACTTCTACTCTAAATAAATATGTCATTTTTCTCCTCATTGTTTTCAAAATTATCATCTAATACAGGATATAAATCCGATTCTGATTAGTGTTTACTTATATTGTTACTGCTCCCTGCCAAGAGGAAGACAAATCAATACTTCTTACCAAAAGTACTGTTTGAAATATTTGACCATCTTCAACAATGGAAAATAAATTTGACATCAAAAATAACCCTCTATGTTGAGTAATAATTCTATGTTCTCTATGAAGACGTTGGTTACAAGTTAGACAAAGGTATAACTTTATTTAGTTCACACCTCATGTTTCTGACTTCATAATTTTGTTGTGAAAGTTACTTGACAGTAAATATAGAACCATACAAATCATTATATTTCTGACACAAAATTAGAATGCAGCGGTATGACTCGTACTACTTCATTCTTTATGGGAGTTTTAACAATGTGTTGACATAAAGTCACCCTCCCTTGGTCAATGCAGTGTTGATTTTCATTCAATGGGCATTCGTGTCTTAACCGACCCAGCAAACGATATTCATGGCAAATTAACGGAGCAGTTAACAGAGAATACTGAAACACAAAAATAATAAATATTGTTTGATTTATTTTTAAAAGGGTATTCATTACATCCATTCAATATATCAACTGATAATCGCTCATTTTTCTGAGGAATCAAAGTAAATATCATTTAGTAATTATTTTACCTGATAATTATATTCAAAAGATAAAATGTGATAGAATATCGTTTCTTCCCTCTATTATGTGTCTTATAACTTCATTCCTAGTCAGTGCTATGAAAAATGTTTCTAAAGATAAAAAATAAGAGTTCTACGTTCACCATGTTCATATGGGTTGCCTCAACCAAAAAATAGAACAAAGATTTTCCTGTTTCAATAAATTTATCTAGTTCATTTCTTTCAAACAACGAAAACAATTTAATTTCATTTGGTTCTGAATGGGCGAGTCTTCAATTTGAACAATTGGTGTTCAGATCAATTGAATATTTTATCTGCGCTTGACAATTTAGAGCTTAATTTTAAAGCACAGGCGTGCGTATGTTCACTAGTCCAACTATTTGCTCCTTTTTCTGGAAGAATTCAAGAATATTCACCACACTTCGTTTTTCCTCTAACATCAAGTGTTCGTGTTCGGAGTATTATTTTTATGATGATCGACGTTATAGGAGGTCAGTCTTTGAGCTCTATTTTTTTGAAATAATTCACCATATGACATGTAAGTCAAGTGTTTAGGCGAAAGTACTTTTTAATATTGTGTACAAGTATGTATATTAAGAATATAAGTAAAAAATAGAGCGTGCATAATAATGCAATTACGATATTTTTTAAATGAGAAATCCTATTTTAAGACATCTTCGTATTTAGATCAAATAAACATGTTAAGGAGAGAAAATTAGCTTCTAAAGAATTTTTGTATAGATTGTGAATGAAAGGACCGATCACGATGGAGTGTAATAACTTCTACATTTGTACGTAAGCAATATTCACTTAGGTAAGAATAAGTGTAAAGTGTGAAAAGAAAGATGTAATGTATCAAGATGGTCAATGTTATTTCTTAGAGTTATTCCATGAGTGGCCTCACTTCATTACTGGGACAGGACTACAAGTTCATTGAAATCGAGCAAGGAATAACAATTTTGCAGAAAATCGGCTAAACGGTTCAGGCGCTAGCGTTGACAACAGTACATAGGCAGACAGATAGGCAGACACACTGACAGACAGACGCACTGCCAAAGAGAGGCCTCGCTGTCAATCCAGTTTTCGATTTTTGGTATTCCACAAAACGTGGATTCTGTCTACACAACTTCTTAGAGCAAATAATTCATTACATATATCAACATTATGTATCCTCTTTTGCGATACCAGAGCCCGGCATTAAGCGTTTTTCTGTCGAAAAATAGCCGATTTTCTGAGCACAAATACAATACTTTCACTTCTTACGAAGTAAAACGAGAAAGTACACAGGGGCTCAGGATAAACAGTTTATCAACTTGTATCAACACGGATAACACATAAAAGAGTCCAGTCCATTTAGCTATTTTATCAGTACACTCAACAGGTGTTTCCTCTATAGTCAAAAGTACGATTACTGGATTTTGGCATCCCAAAAAGCACAATTCACAATTTATAATTGCAATTTTACTACGGCTTCCGTAAACCATGGACGCCCTTCTGCTTAGAGAAACCAACACATATCAATCAACAAATTTCAATTGTATTTCTTCACATGAAGCAATTCTGGAACTTTCATTAACATGACAAAACCCTTTCAACCAATCTATCAAGTACAAAATATGTATTACTACTCTACAATCTAGAAATCTTTTAAACATTGACTTTCTCAACAATATGTGAGTACGGTTCGTAACACCTGCCATGAGAAATCGCTGCTGGTCTTTCCCCTTTCCTAGTCGAGTCCCAAGTCCGACCGGAGCCGACCCTTTGCCCCCGGCAAGTGGGTCTCCTCCGAGAGTAGATTGGCGACGTAACTTTCTTCCGCGGGGCTTCGGTGGCCTTGACCTCGATCGGGAGATCGCGCAGCGCTCTTCACGCACGCGGCCGCCGCCGCCGCCGCCGAGTTCCCCCTCGCCGGCTTCCTTTGCCAGCGCGGCCCGTGCGTAGCATCCGCGAGGCGACTCGCTCCCGTCGCGGAATTCCGCCCGCTAACGAATCTCCGACTCACCGACGCACATGCGCGCCGAGTTTTGTTGTGTTTGCCAATGAGAGGGAAAACAATGCGCTGAAATTGCACAAAGGGGCTACTGGAAAACAAACGCTTAATTACGTTACGACTGGTACTGCCGACAGGGCTCGCCGGATGCGGGAAGAAAGGAATCGTTCACGGTGGGTGAGTCGTTGGCTAAACTGTCTGAACTTCTGGTGCCTGCTGGTTAAAGATCGTCAAGGATTCGTTTCCGACTTCGCGTTAACTGCCTTGGTAGTGCAGGCTTACCTCACGTGCGGTCTACAGCAAAGAGTTGTGGCATGTTTTAATATTCAATAATGTGGTAGGCTGACTGCAGTATGCCTATTAATTAGTGATATTAGAGCAAGGAAATAATTAGATCAATTTAAGAGAGTTCTCTTTTGTTAGGCATATTTCATAACTATTTTATGTTTAGTGTCTTTGACATGAATTTTAAACCATAAATGGAACATTAACAGCAAAAAATGTTATTTATCAAAGCCGTTAAATATATAATGAAATGTTTCTAATCGCATATTCCGTTCGATTAACTCATAGTTTCTAAAAAAGATTATCTGAATAAGTTAGTGAAGACAAACGATGAATAAATAACTTTCTCTTACGATTTTTGTTAATTAGTATTTACTGGCGGTAAGGCCAAAAACATAAGTTATTATTTAATGCATATAATTGTTTCTTCTTATTGTTCGAACATAACTTTTAACACTCCATACTGATAACTCCTGTCCACTTTCCTTTTTCCAATTAATATTAATAAATGTTACACTTGAAATTAATGGGAGTAACACTAATTTACCACCTTTTCTCTTGTGTTGGAGAAAACAATAGAATAATGTTTAAGTTTATAAGCTAATTTTGAACACAATTTTAGAACTAGTTTATTGAACACAGGAAATAAATAAACAAAACAATTTCGTAAAGTGCGAGACGTATTCAAGATCCAGAATAAAATACTTACGAGTATAAGTATAACGGGAAACTCTTAGCAGAAAGTCAAAAATAAAAATAAAACTATTTTACTTGGGAAGTAACATTTTAGATTGACATTAAAGTCGAATTTACCAATAAATTACCGCTATCACTTCTACCATCACAGGCGCTAATGAATTGAGACTACAACCTACTTTTCAGACAAAACTCTCACAAAAGATTTTTTATCCAGATATCACTTCATTTGCACTCTATTACATTCAATTCATTAAAACTTATCTCGAGGGATATCAACACCATCTCTCAAACCAACAACTCCGCTTTGGTGTGAGAACATTGCAAAGATTGCGTACAAGTCGTCACATACCATGAAATTTACTTTTTCACGATCACCACAGAAGTCAAATTAGCCACCTTTCCAGACGACGAGCCGTGCCAAACCTCTGCATAAACCCTGCCATCCAGGTCAGAGCCGCATGCAACGTTCCCGCCCGAAAACCGAACCAGAGCACTCGAGAAGCGGAAGGGAGTGCAACGGTTTCCTGCGGCAGCTGCCCTGCGCGTGAGCAAAGATGGCGCAAAGGAGGAAGCGAAATCGACCGCACGAGGCTCCGGACGTCCGACGACGGCGAAAACTGAAAACGAAACCTCCGCGTTCGCATCTCCGGCGCCGCGGCGCCTGCACCGGCGGCGGCGGCGGCGACGTCAAAGGCGCCGCGACGCTCTCGCACGCGACGGCCTTCCCAGACGATGAAGACGACGCAGCACTGACGATGCACCGCGCAGAAGACGGAGCACCGCGCAGAAGAAGACGTTCTTAAGTGCCGGATGTTAGAAACTATACGTTTAAGATAGTGTTTTTGTTAGTATTGTTTTAACGTTCGTGCAGTATCAATGATTATTCCCGGGTTGGTAGACCGTGAGTTAGCATTGATGGGCGAAAAGTTTTGGTTTGTCCACGTTTGGAGTGGCGGCGCGGTCTCGAGCGAAGTGTACGGGATGGCGGTTGGCTGGCTGGCGACTAACACGAGTAAACGACAGATAATTATACGAAACGTGTGGCCTATCAACTTTAACTGGACTACGGCCTATCATCCCGGAAATAATCAAGAATACAGATTTCGTCTGTGAAAGTATTTGAGTCATGTATTGTATTGACAATACAGTATTTTTAATCTATCTTCAGCGTTTACTCAGCTTACGATGACGCGTTATGCTCGTGTGCATATAAGTGAGCGTGACGTTTCCAAATAAACATATAATGTTTCATCTTGATTAATATACATGCATGAAATAATATTGAAGCACTTGTATATTTGCTTGGGCCAATTTGGATTGATTTAAAGTATATTATATTAATAGCAATATTTACGTAATATAAATGGCATGTGTGAAAATCATGTACATATTAACACGAAACTCCCCTTTTTATTGTTTCAAACTATGTTTGAAAATGTAACATAATTACATTATTTTAAAGCATGATTAAATTCACTGACTTCTAAAAAAGTATTAATTTCGTTATCCTTTTTTTAAATACGAGATACTCTAGTTCCAAGGTCGATTGCGTTTTTTGGCCGGGTTTCATTTGAGAGCAATGAAGGTGAAATAGGTATTTACGTTTCTCCTGGCCAGTGAATAGCACTTTTCATGCAAACAAAGAATCATTCAATTTTCACTGTTTTTTTTTTCTTAAATGGACATAATGTGTAATTAATAAAATAAAATGCATGTACTGCATTAATATTTTCTTTTGGAATCCAGAATTTCACATGTACTATTTTATAAGTGATTGTGCTGTTAATGCATTCAATCTCCGTGCGAAATTAATACAATTCGAAATATTTTTCAGTCCACTATCCTGCAATGATGTGAGTAGCCTTCCTACGCGGCCACGGCGGCGCACGTCCGTCAATCGGCAGGGCTCTTCGTCGACCCTCCGGTGACGACGGGCAATGGGACTGCAACAGGTATAAACAGCTGCTCTGCGCTCAGCCGTGGCGCAGTGGGAAGGCTACCATTTAAAGCTATGTCCCGCTAGCGGTGGCGCGTACGCCTTCCTCCGCTTACGCGTAGCGGGAGCTCGCTGCCACTTGCCGCAGCAGCGCGCAACCCCGCCACACACGTGGGAAGTTTATCTCTCATACCACTCTGTCACCCAGATCTGCCCGTGGTTTCCGGCTCCGCGACTCTGGCGGCGGCAGCAGGCGATGGCGTGGTGGTGGTGGTGGTGGCGGCGGGAGCGATGGCAGTGGTGGCGGGGTGGCGGCGGTTGCGGCGGCGGTGGAGTGGTGGCGGCAACGGTGGCGGCCGTGGTGCGGCGGCGGGGCGGCCCGAGTAGGTAGTGGCGGAAACCGCGGTGGTGGCGGAGGCGCTGGCGGGAGTGCCCGGAGAAACCGGCGGTGCGAGTAATGACGGGCTCGATGGGAAGCCGTGCACAAAACGCGCATCAGCACCGCCCCGCGCCCTCGCCCTGGGAGTGGGCGGTGGGGAGCGGCAGTGGCGGAGGTGTGTGGTGGGAACGCGTCGTGCAGGGGCTGGCGTGCGACTCGCTGCGTGGCGGCGGGGTTTTTTTTTGGGCGGGGGGGGGACGGGCCGCGGGTAGCGGAGTACGGGCGCAGCGGGGACAGTGGAAACGGCGGATGTGATTGGAACGATAGGGGCGGCATGGGAGGAGGGGGCGGCGGAGGCGATAGAGAAAGAGGGGGTGATGGGACGGCGACAACGCGGAGGGGGGGGCACGAAAAGGCAGAGACGAGTGTTGCTGCGGCGACGGAAGTGAACGTTGGTAGATAAAATAGGATAACAAAGACGACGGTTTTTAGTGTTCTAAGGATCCAGACTGTTCTGATCCGTTTTCTTGTCGAACAGTTTAACACAGGGATTCCCGTCCTTTTTCTTTCATCGACCCCTTTTAAGAGAACGTTTGCTTCATCGAGACACTGACATTTTATCTATAATATACAGCATCCACAATTATGACACCAAGTATTCACATAAATGTCTTAAACGTATCAATATCGTACCCCAATATTCTCGTAAATATCTCAGTTATCAATTATTGAAGACGCCTTAATTTTAAAATAGCTGATTTTCTTATATTCAATTATACCTAATAGTTAGAAAATGTTGAGTATTGTTTAAGAAGTGGTCATAACATTTCTCCCGTGCGTATTGCGGAGAGTACTTTCTTGCACGATACCGTATTGTTGTCAATGCATAGTTATCATTTCTTGAGTTTTTTAAAGTATAATTCCTAAGGATAAAAGATGGATATGTAAGAAGAGAAAGTTGTAATTTATTATTATACTTTTTTGCTCTGTCAGAAAACAGTTCATTAATATTTCTCTAATCAATGGGATGTTGATTATACTGCGCCGGTTAATATTTGACTATTGACTCCAATTAACCCCTTGATCATTATTGGCCCGCTTCAAAAATGTTTATTGTTCCTCACGGGGTCTATACCAACCCAGATGTATACGTAAGCTTCCGCGGCTCGAATCCATGAAGTTTGGCTATCCGGGAGACGCCGCGTCGTTGGCTGGGGTGCCACCCCAGCCAACGACGCGGCGTCTCCCGGATAGCCGAGAATTCGTCTATACCAACCCGCTGGGACCGCTGGTTTAACTGTTAAGAAATAAAATTTGTTATTTAATTAAGAAATAAGATTCGTTATTGAGATAAATAAGCAAAATGCAGACTCTGAAATACCAATAAATTTAAAGTAAACATGTTGGACGTGGTATTAAGAGTTAAATTCGTCTTTAAGTGACATTAAGTTAAGTCTGGGGATCTAAGTTGGTATATGAATAAGCATTCTAGAAGCCATGGGTTAAAGCATTGGTTGTAGAAGCGGTGCGGTGAGATGATGAAGGGGGTGGTTTCCGAGACGGCTTCATTGAAGAGTAGAGCTGGTAGAGAGAAACGACTTGAATTAAGTAAGGCGACGGCGATGGCCCAGAAAAAACCATGTTACACACGCTCGCAACGATGTAATTTAAAACATTTCTGTGGCTTGTATTTGTGTTGCTTTCCATTTGTTAAAGTGCGTACAAAGCTGCCTGCTTCAACATACGCAAAACTATAATCATCTTAACTTTTTTTCAAAAGCGTGAAGTTGAAATGCAGTCTAATCAAAATAACAAGACAAACAGTAGATACTAAAATGTGGAATGTGACTGCTCTTTTCTAAAAGAGAAGACAACGTAATAAAATGACAAGGGTGAGCTAGTCGGGCGCTAATCGATTTTTGCTCGTTCTGCATAGCACAAGTTTATGTCACGAACCATGTGACCACAACACAGGTACTTCGTTTGAAAAGAGACCAGACCCGACGCTGGCCGCCATGTTGCATGGAGAGCGAGAAGTGTAGAAAAACAATTTAAAGGTGGCATAAAGAAACAATTTCATCAGCGACCAACTAAAAATAACACGATGAAGATGTAATTGAAATAAAAGTTGCATTTTTTAATGATCCATACATCTGTTTCAATGACACGTAACAAGATAATTTTGATATCCGTCTGCATTTAAAATTCTCGCTAAATATTGTGACGCAAACTGGTGCTGGAAGCTCATTGGCTGAAGTCAGATACGATGCGCAATAGCTCATCCATGTCTTTTCTTATGGATCAGAAAACAAGTCAGGTAGCGAAGGAGAATCTCAGCCCAAGCACGTTCTAACACTGCTTCTTCAACGGAGGATAGTGTTGCTCAATAGTTGGAGAAAGGAATCATTTGACATAGTATTTCCCTAATGTCAAACACAAAGGGATATGAAAAGTTGCATCGTCAAATGTCAAGGAGAAGGTGGGTAGGGATACCGAAGGTATTGCGGCACAATACTTCAAGAGGCCTTTGCGAGGGGCAGTGGCGATAACATAGCAAGTGGCACATAACATAGTGGCAGGAATGGTGCGCATACAAGACCAATCGTGTTTATAATGTAATTTTGCATTTGTGTATCTAAAATTAAAGATTTTCAAAGAAAATTATATAAAAAATTAAAAAATATTGTCAGAAAAATTCGATTTGTAATGACATTTCAATTGTTTCCAAGCATAAAAAATTAAATAAAGCTCGTATTTGTTCATTTTAATTTTCAACAATAATTCTGAAATAAAATCTTCCTATCTGTAGAGTGGGAAAGTTACAATTCGTATCCTGCTGTGAAGTTGTAACAATGGATATTTAATATTGCCTTACTAGCTGTATCCTTTTATTTCAGATAATAAATCAGTCTGATGAGGCATTTGTACGAACACGCTAAACGTTGGGTGAGTCACGTATTTAGACGAATGAATAATTTTTGGACAACTGTGGTTGGAGTATCTAAAATAAAAGGTTGCAGCTTCTGAGTTATGATTTATTACCTGAAAATCGCATTATGTTACTTCAATAACAAAAATGGTTTTATTTTTAAATATCCTATTATTCAATTGCATGCATCAGTACACAGCGTAACAGCGCATCAGTACACACTGGACGAATATTTAAGAAATGGGGTGTGCTCTTTTGTTGTGGTCTAGCCAAACCTATTGAAATCCTAAGTAAATGACTGTGGAGGCGAAGTAAAAAGTTTTATTACGGAAAGTAAGTTATGATTTCAGTTATTGATACTTCGGAGAAGCTGTGCCATATTTTATGCTGGTAAATGTAATTATCTGTGTTAATTTGTTATTTGTGTAAGTTAATCATGTTTACTAATGGGCTGAAACTTCCTCTCACGGTCTTATTGTATTTCGTGTCGATCATCAAGTCTTTGTTGGCACAATTAACAATGTTAAGCTACATTAGTGTCTAATTATTAAATACTCATAACCAACTCCAGAAGCGGCAAGCGTAAACGTAACGAGCAGTGCGTACCTCGTGCGTGCATCGAACGTCCCACTACAATTGGTTAGAAGTTGAGGCTTGAATTTCGGTGGGCTACCAGAAATTTATGTATTGTGTTTTAACATTTGTGAGCTTTCGAGGTCGGCCGGAATCGAATTCGTAGTCCAACTGATCTGATTGGGAGTGGATTATCTGATTTCGCGATCACTTAAAAAAAGAAACAAAACCCTAGTCAAAGGGCAACGAACTGCTCGCCATCCTGCTTTTCTATCCCGTTCTCCTTCCCATACCCAAGACCGAGACATAAGTTTATCACCGTTCTTTAATGACCCATCCCAATAATTCATAAAATCTCAATCAGGCATGTGAGGTTTGAAAAGCGGTGAACGACTATCTTTGAGTCTCCAAAAGCAATAATGAGCGTCTGGTGAAAAAAATCGGAGTAATCAACACAAAATAAAATACAGTAGACGCTGCTTACTGTTATCACCCTGGGACACAAGACATGGATAAATAACAATTGACGATAAAATCTAATTGAAGCTTACCCAATGAAAAACAACTTTTACTCTGCGCTTACTACAAGAAAAACTTTCATTCATAATAAGATACATTATTTCCTTCGGTCAAAAGATGCTTTCGCTAGGATAGAAAATTTGTTGCAATTTAAAATCAGATTACAATGACATATTTCTATAATTTCTAAAATACATATTTTAAAATAGAAACAGTATTGGATTAAGGTCTGCTTCTGGTTTCCTCCGTGTATTCTCTTAATATAAATTTCGTAGTAAAATTGATACTGAAAATGAACTAACCTTTGCTGAACACCACGTCGCAATATTTTTATTGCCTGCCTCATTTCAGCCGTTATGGGATGTTGAGACGTTTCCACAGCACCGTCGTAATTTTCCTCTTTTCAGACTCCTGCGGCCATTTGTGAGCCTGAAGAAGAAACAATTTTACATGTCTTCTGTTTGTCAAGCAGATAAAGTGAGCCATTATTTCCTGAAATTATTTTTCTGTCGTATTGGTACGTCACATATATCAGGTTCACAATATTTCTTCACGAAAGCACCAAATAGACACTGCTTAGCCTTTGCAAGTTGTGACACAAGAAGGGTTAAAAATGTGATTAATTGAGATATATTTCAAAATAATGATAACATAAAAGGAATTCTGATCACAAAAACGTTTTCTTAATGTTGTAATATATGGTATGTCCAGGCTGAACAACTTAATAATGTTATAATTAGCAGAATTACAACAATAAGCGTGGTTCCAAGAAGCGGCGTCCATTTATTTCCGCAATGCGGTCTTTCTATTCTTCATTTACACAAAGAATTTTGTCGACCTCTTCATCACCTCGTCGCCATCTCCCGCAAATTGCATTTGTTTGGGTACTTCACACCCGCTCATCCGTGGGAATACTTACCAGCCACTCACGCGACCCCCGGCGCCAAAGTGACAAAAGCAACGTGAGTAAACGCCCTCTCTGCGGGGCGAAAGTGAGGAGGAGGGCGTCGAGAGGTCGTCGGCTCACTCCGTTGAGCGGAGGAGGACAGAGAAAGGGAGCGGACGGAAGGAAACCTCCAATTTATGTATTTTACGTGAACAGGAAGCGTTGACATTCAGGTGTAACACAAGGCTGCATTTTGCTGCACAGAGTGGTCATTAGAGACGGGAAATTAGACGCGAGAAGAAAAAACAACAAATGCATGTCGCAGAAATTAAATTTTTCATAGATGTTGCTCTCTCGAAGGACAGAAAATAATATGTTATCCTTCACGAACTAAAGGCTAGTAGTATTTTACAAAAACATATTACATTGCGCAAGCTGACTACACATCGTGACAGAATAAAGAGTTAACCTATCCCAGAATAACTTATCAATTGCAAACCTAATGGAAGAAGAAGAAATGGAATAAGCTTTGGAATGGTCACTTAAATATTCCAAATTCCGATATATGAAACTAGAGCAACCGTTTATTTTAATCACAGAATTTGATGATAATGAAAATGATAAGGATGATTAATAAGAAAATCAAACTTTTGAAAATATTTGGTATAAAATATATTTTTTCTGCGTTAATCCCTTACTTTCAAGCAAAACTACTTTCACCAAAGCTACATTTGAAGGAAATTTACACATGAATAATTCAGATAAAATAATCAAGAGTAATAGAATGCATGATACATCCAATAGCGAGAATATTCATGCATGAGATGCGAAGCGGAAATATGTTCACTGCAATATACCACTCAACTATCTCCAGGTTCAGATAACAGACACTAGCTTCACTTTAGTGAGTCAGTACGAGGGTAGAAATGTTAGATGAAGGAAAAGATGTAATGCTCAGTTTTACTTTTAAATCATATTCAAGTTAATATATAATGTTTACAACACATACAGTAGATAGTGAGAGTAAACAATTCAAGTACGAACAACAAATTTTCTCTATTTAAATGTTGTTCTTAGAAACGACTACAAATATTTTCTTTATTTTTCATGGACAGTGAAAAGGACGCATAAAAAATGGCGCAGGTCACATTTCTGTTGAACAATCAAAGTTTTCAAATATTGTAAAAGTTACTAATAATAAGAAAACTGGCAATGTAACATCATTAGTTTTAAAATGCGTAAATTATCACAAAATCTGGCATGGGAATTTCTATGTTATTGTTTATTAACACAATAAACACTGAAAACAACTCCGGCGTGTCCATAGCTTTGAAAGATTTGGAGGCGTCGGAAGCGTGAGGGCGCCGAGAGCTTCGACAGCGTCGAGGTGTCGTGGACGTTGGGAGCGTGTCGGGAACGATGGCGAGGGGGCGCTTCGGGGGTATAGGATCTCCAAAGAATCGAGGGTCCCGAGGATGTGAGTGTCGGGGGCATTGAGTGTCGGGGGCATCCGAGGTGTTGGAGGCGTCAGGGGCGATGGAGGCATCGGGAGGCATCACGGGAGAGTCGACGGCGTCACGGACGATGGGGTCTTGATAGGTGTCGGAGGCGTTGGAAGTGCCGGGGACGCTGAAAGCGACAGGAATACTACGGGGCGTCGAGGGCGTCGGGGGCGTCGGGGGCGTCGGGGGCGTCGGGGCGTCGGGGCGTCGGCGTGGGCGTCGGGGCGTCGGGGGCGTCGGGGGCGTCGGGGCGTCGGGGCGTCGGGGGCGTCGGGGGCGTCGGGGCGCGGGGGCGTCGGGGGCAAGGTTTGTCCTTTGTTTCGTTTTACTGGGGCCGTTTTGTTCTTTGCTGTGTGGCAGACTGTTCGTTATTCGTTTTCTCTTTCTTTGGTCTCTGCTAGTGTCCGGATTTTGCAGTCCGTTTTTTTTTTCGCCGTCCTCCTAATATTTTTTTTCAAAAAATTTTCTGACATTTTTTGTTTTTGTTCATAGCAGAACTGAATATTATTTTAAGAATATTTAATTCATAGATATCTCGCCCTAAATCCGGCAATTTTTCATCAATCGGCAAAACATTATTATTTCTGATACTTTTTTTCGGAAATAATTGTTGACTGGTGTTCGTATTTGATGCATATCAAAAACCTATTTCTGATTAGAACTGATGGATTTCGATTTTGGTAGTTTTCATATTTTTTGTGAGATAAAATAATGTCAGCAGTGACGAACAAATTTTTTTGGAAATTAAAAGAGGTTAACACCTAGAGGGGAGTGGTGGGGCGATTCCATTCTATCCGGGGTACCCCTTCGATGACGATTTCATGACGCCAAGTTAGCTTACGTTTTTTTACCTATGTGTATGTAGGTGGAGGAAACAGTAATGACTGATTTAACAAGACACCATATTAGATAGACAGATTTGTAGTGGAATGCTACTATTCACCGTCGCCGTCGAGACATGTACACTCCTTTCTGGATTTATAGGGGGGGGGAATAGCAGAAGTTTCCCGTATCCGTTGAATGCCGGGGTTCTCCCCACGCGGGCAAGCAGCCCTGCACAGCGCCGTTTGGCCGTGCCTGAATCCCTAGCAGCGATAGAAGTGAGCACGCGGCCCAATTGCCCCGTCACTTCTCTGCGGCGCGGCTGCTCCAGCAGCACCGCCACTTCCTTGACCCTGTCTTGTTGTCGCGCGGCGCTGGCCCCGTTCTCCCCCGTGCCTCCCCGCGCCGCCACCGCCGTAGTCCCGCGGGCCTGGCACGCTTCGCCGAGGCAAGGACGCGATTACTCTCCCGATCGATCATCGATTCCCTTTTTCGGCAGATTAATTTTGCCGGTCGTACTGGCCTCGACCCCCCACTGAATGCTCCGCACTTTGTCCGCGGCGCCTAAAGGCAATTGGCACCGGACTCCTCCCTCCCCACTCCACACCGGGTTCGGGCCTGACGCGTAGGAAAAGAACCGCGCCAGTATTTGCGTGCTTTTCTAGTCAGGTGGAAAACGGCGCACACCCAGTCGGTATTACTAGCTTCTGTTTACGTGACATGACCAGGGCTACAGGACAGACAGACTGAAAGGCAGGCAGGTAGGCATACAGACGAGAACAGGGACAGACAGACTGAAAGGCAGGCAGGTAAGGCATACAGATCGGGAGACAGAGCAGAACAGACTGAAAGCAGGCAGGCCAGGCATACACACACACAGAGTGGTCAGAGCACAGACACACAGAGTGTAGGAGGGTGAACACGCACACACAGAGTGTCAGACACGACACGAGCAGAGTGTCAGACACACACCACACCAGAGTGATCAGACACAGCATCACAACAGAGGTGTGCAGAACACGCACACAGAGGGTGTCAGACACGCAGGGCAGAGTGGAGACTACACACAGAGTGTCCAGACACACACTACGAGTGTCAGACACGCACACAGAGTGTCAGACCACGCACACAGAGTGTCAGACACCGCGCACACTGAAAGACACGCACACTGAAAGACACGCAACATGAAGAGGAACACGCACACTGACAGACACACCGAGCTGAAAGACACAGCAACTGAAAGACACACAACACTGAAAGCACACCACACACTGATCCGGGGAGGCGGTCCGAGACACGGGCAATCTGAAGCTTCGGAAACCACCGGCGGGAAAGTGGGATCGATAGGGTTGAGTACTTTGTACGTAGAGACATGCCACGTGTGCGGGAGGTGCTTGCGGGGGTATTAACGACAGACTCTTCAGTAGCATCCGCGAGACCGATTCAATGATGCCAAAACACGACGCGAGTGCTTTGGGCACTACACATCCAGCAGGAATTGTAAAAACCGATGGCATTTTCGAAGGGAACATCGAGCCGAAGAGCCATGCGTGAGCTAGGACGATCTCCGCAGGGGCACTAACGCTTCGATTCCGACGACTCGGGAAAGCCGGCGGTTGAGGCCGCGCGCTCCCTCGGCGGCGGTGGCGGCGGCGGCGCGTCCCTCGATTTCTCCAGCGCTGCGGTGGTGGTACTGCCCCTCCTCCTTCACCGCCGCCACCGCCGCCGCTGGCTCGGCCGCTCCAGCCGCGCCTCTCGCCGCCGTCAGTCTCGCCCGCTCGCGCGCCGCCGCAGCATGTCTTGCGCAGTGCACTCGCCCTCACAGTCGTAGTTGCGCCTCTGGTCAGTGTCTCTTTCTCCGCAGCGCTACCCCTTCTCAGCCAGACGCAGCGTCGCCGCACCAAGGAATTTTCCTCCACAACGGCGGTGAGTACCTAGCAGTTCTTTCATTGTCACGTCCGTCTGCTGTGAATTACCAGCCGATCTGCTGATTGTGTATCAATCGTGTGTTGATCTACGTATGATCGTGTGCAGGTCAGAGTCTTGAGCTATCTACCTCTATAACTCGTTTAGCTACAGAGATGATTGTTGCTCTTATCATAAGTTACATATCCAGGGAATATTGTTAACTTCGTGAATTCTTGATTGTGAACTCTGCAAACTCTCGTGCCTTGTTGAATTGGGTTTTCACGACTCCTCGATCAAAGACTTTCTGTGTGACAAATTTTGTATTAAATCTTACGGATCGTTCACAACTTGTTTTATTGTCTACTATATTTCACAATATTATCTAATTAGCGTTTTTAACAATCACGCAAAATAATCCAGTGTGTCACACAAGATTTAATCGACACCATTCAGTTCTTATTCATAGGGTCACACGTGCTCTTTCATGGTGTACCCATGCCAACTGAATTACGACTACCTGGTATTCCTCCGACGTGTGTCCCCGCGCGCAAATTTCCATCCACAGACGTTTCAAGCGCGTTTTCACGCTGTTCCTCGCGTCATAATTGCCCGGCGCGCGCGCGCGCCGCCAGACATGGCAGACGCCACCGGCGACTGCTCGCGCAGGCGAAGACCTACTTTCTTTTGACGCGGAGTAAACAGCTGAAGGAGATAGGCTCCGCGCAGTTCCGCGATGCACCGCGGCATATGCACACGCTGTCGACCCACTCGGTGGAATCCCATCAAGTGCTCTCGCTGGTGGAAAGAAAACACAGCAATTATCCTAGAAAAATCAGATTTTAATTTTTGATTTACGTTCCATTTCTTCATAGTAATCAAAAAGGTCCGTATAAATATATGAAATGTAAATACCAGAAATATATTTTTTTTGTATGATAGTTTTTGTCATAATAAAAATTATTATTTTTTTGCGTATAAATGGGTTAAAATTTCAAATTTCCCTAAAAAAATAACTAATTTGTTTTTTTTAAAGAGTGTAGTTTACAAAGCTATTCTTATCCATTCCAAGTTGTTTCTCCTTACAGTGAGCAAAAATAGAAGGAAACATGTTTTTATAAAATTGGCAAGAGTAAATCGTAAGTTTTAATGTTCCTAAACATATTCCTCATGTAGCTGGTTCTAAGTGTCGGGGACATTGTTTAAAGTTGCTATAGTCTTGGGCGCTGAGCTCGGAGATTTCAATGCGGGGTTAGGCGACGTGGGCGTGATCGAACGAGCGCTTTCCGATATTATCCGCGAAAACTTTCTCTTGTGGTGACAATAACGACTTGCGCAATAGAGGTGCTGGAAGATCTGCGAATTGGTGGGATGTTGTCGGAAACAAGTGAAATCGTTGTTGGAGGTGTTAATTTGTAAGTTCCTAGAAACATTGGAGCACTTCCGAACTGCCAGAAGCTTTGTTCAGTGAAAATGAATTTTCTATACATTTAATTGTGTGTTGGCATGTAGATGACGTTTGATAGATATGTAATACGGAGTGCCAACCCTACTACTACAGTGGAATTTATATTAAAAGATTGCGAATAAATGAAATATTTATTGGAATTTCTTTTACCCGTATATGCGGGTTATATTTGCGCTTCCATGTTTATAATGTATCGTATTTTATTCAAGATCTAAGAAAATTATAAAACGCTACCATAAAGAGAATTGTACGAATGGTTCAATCATTTGTCATATTAAATTTAAACTATAAAGCATTCATTACATCAAGAATTGGATGAATCCCTCGGCATGAAAACGACTTCGTCAGTGCTGGCTCACTTTCGATTTCGGAATATTCCTTCAGTTAATCAAACCTTACACAACATTACACTCTCAGTAGATAGCTGTACCTACATTTTCGAAACAATGCAGCCTTGCATCATCACGGCGATCAATTAACCGATTGGATCGACGCAAACAGTACCTCCGCTTTCGAGCGTATTCTGCCTGTAGCCACAGCTGCCGAGCGCAGGGCTCGAACCGGAGGTGCGCGGTCCAGATTCCAGCGCCTGAGCTGAAGGACGCCCGCCGCCGCTGCTGTCGCCGCCGCCGCTCCCGCTGCCTTCCAGCTGGTCGCGGTGGCGGCGACGGCGACGGTGGCGACGGTGGCGGCGGTGGCCACGCTCCGCACGTGTTGTGCCCCATGCGGCACACAGCGCATGTGCGGCCTTTAACGGATCGTAAAAAGCGCGAATCGTGCGGTCTCCAGCACGACGTCTGCGGAGGAAACGCCCTCCACAGATGGATTGGGTTTGTGCTGATGGCTGGGTCACGGTGAAGCGGAGGATCTCGTTTTGGCGAACGCGCTGGGAGCGGGATACTTTCAGATTCTTTTGACATCCGCTCCAAAGCGGCTTAAACACATTTTTTGCATTATCTTACGAATATTCATATTTTTTTGACATCCACTCCAAGACGGGTTCAACTGATTTATTCTTGCAGTTGTGTTTCTTCCTTTATTTGAAAGTCATATTATTTAAGAAGCAGTTGTAATAAATTTGTTATATAGGCTTATTACCTATTCGAAAGCTTTTAAAGCAACGCTTGCGTTTGATGTGTTTTAAATAAGAAAGTGTTTCCTCTAGCCCTCATAGAAAATATTTGATGCAAATGGAAATGCACACGTACATTATTTGTGATTTTACACACATTTTCCTTTTTACAGATTTATTTTATGGATTACTTTTCAACCTTTTGAATAATTTTCTAATCAAATGTGATTACAAAAGGCTCTTAACTCATTTAATCTCCCTGAATATTAACCTTCATATTTCTCACATTTTGTACGTTTTCTTCCAATGTAGTGTCTCATTCGTGATATCTCAAGCATTTAACTGAACAACTATGGATACGAGGCAGTATATTGTCTTCAGTTACATAAGAATTTCGATTAGTAGTTTTTTTTTCAATTATAAATACCAAAATGTTAGGGATAATTCTCTCAACTCATTAGAATTGCTTATTTTCGGAATAGTTTTTTTTGAAGCGACAAAATTGTTGAACTCTATCACATGATCAATGTGTTTGATTCAAATATGTTTAATTCGAGACCAACAATTGATGTATTAAGGACACACCAAATGAAAAAAATATTTCCGAAGAGAAAGATGAAGAGGATGTCAACGGATATGCAGTAGAACTTTCTATTCTGACGCAAATAATCTTGCCAAAAGATACAAACAAAAATATCTCATTAGTTTCGTCCTTGAATTTCCTAACATTGTGACAGTAACAGTTATGACTGGCAGTGGAGATTCATGCAGTTAAACTGTACGCATAAACACTCATAAAAGAAAAACATAAGACAAAAATAACCAAATAACCACGTGCGGACAAAAATCAACGTAATAGCCGTGTTCCGACAACCTTGAACTATCCGTTATTTTCTTTCGCGACAAGGCCGCGGTGGCCATTCCACACGCCTCGCTTTTTACCTCCGCTTATTCTAGTGATCACATTGTTTTCTCCTGCCTCCTGGGCCAACGTCCAAAGCAGACAGTTAGGCCTCACGTTGTGCCCGCATTCTTCGTATTCTTGGCAAACACCCTCCGGACTCAGTCGTTTAGAGCACAAGTCGGAGCGGTTGCAGAACGAGGATGCTGACGAAGGGGAGAGTGGACGAGCGAGTGGACGGGTGGGTGGGCGACGCGCAGGAGAGAACGAAAGTGGACGAGAATGGCAGGTGGAGAAGAAAGGTACGCGAAAGAGTAGAGGAGGACAAGTCGGAGGTTCTAAGAACACGAATAGTAATAATATTATTATTCATAATAATAGTAATAATAATAATAATAATAATAATAATAATAGGAATAAATTGTATTTTCAACTGAACAAAGTGTGTCGGAAAATTGATAGAGTTGAAATTACAATAATAATAATAATAATAATAATAATAATAATAATAATAATAATAATAATAATAATAATATTGATCATGGCAATTAATGTTGATATTGTAAAACAAATTAATCCGCATTCCTATTAGATATTTCACGTATTTACATTTTAAATTTTCATGTATTTTCACTTATTTACAAGTGCCAAATTTCTCCTAATACGAGTAGTACACTCTCTCCCCTTAAATTCCGAGACAAATACTGTTCTCCAATAAAAGTTATGAATGCTGCCAGGTAGTTCACTATCAGATTAGGAAGAGGAATTATGTATGTGATAGGGGTTGAGAGAAGGCGTATAACAATAATACGGATGGCTTTACAACCTATTGTGAAAGAAAACAAAGTGACACATTCCATGAGTGGTAGAATAAATCAGATCTTCCGCAAGAGAAGTCCATTACTTTATTATAAACTGGCGATTTATTTTACTTTATCATCAGTATTTAATTATGTAATAAGAAGTTGTTAGGTTTTAATATTTTAACGATCACATTTTGACACATATTAATGATAACGATAAAATCATTATTAATTTCTAAATTAATTAATATAGACATTAAAAACCATTAATGAAAGTTAATTTTAATCTCATTATCAAAAAAAAAAAATATTCTCATTTCATTGACTTCGTCGTCCACTCAGTAGAGAAAACTCTTCGTTCATGTCCATCCAATCGGAAACTTTATGGATATCATGTGGTGCTTAGAGTATCATCTCAGGCTGGTACTAGATAGTAGTACTGTAGTGATAACACTAAATCTCTTAAGGAATGGTTCACCAAAACAGATAAGCAGAACCATCCCTGTGTTCTGACAGGAGGCTCCTGCGCGTTTAGAGATTCAATGGGTTTATATCATCATCGTCGTCTCAGAACCAGCCAGGAGGAGGTATTTAATATGACTTCGATGGCCATTATTTACTTACTGAAACACATAGATGTACTGCGAATTTATGTAACAAATAAAAAAAATAACACGAATACGCACACGACCGGGTGCGCGTGGCTGTGTAGCTATTAGGGATACAGCGACCGCGGCGGCGGTGATGGAGGTGGCGGGGCGGTGGCGTGCGCGCGTGACGAGTGAAACCCGCGCCGCGACAAAACGACACACGCGTCCGAATAATGCGACCGGTGGCGGCGGCGGCGGCGGCGTCCGAGGTGAGGTAAGCCCTCCATAAACGAGACCGTGCAACGGTCGCGGCCGGCGGACGCTCACGCACGGAATAGGACTGTTTCTTCACAGGCGCTGCGGAATTTGCGTCACGCTGCTAACGATGTGTGCTTTTACTGCGTGTGTGGTTTCGGTGATGGTGTTTACTTCAGGGAAGTGTGTTTCTTGAAATTCGGGGTTGGTACCTTCACGAAAATCACTTCGTAATAATTGTCATTTCCCGCCAATAACAAAAAAGTTAGGGTAAAATGAGTGAAGTATATATGAATGTAAAAGAACCAGAACGGCAGAAGTAGCATTTTATAAATTCGGAGAAAAACGTGTTTATTTGAGGCTAAATTTCAGTGGCAATGTATTTACGTAGTTAAAATGAACAATTGAAATGTCGTGGTTTTCATGATCAAACAGAGCACCATGACTTTACAGTGCTATTGACTTTGAATACACAGATTTCTCACAATTAATAAAACATCACTTATATCGTTCTGGTTTTCACCCATTCATATAATACCAAGAATGTACCATTCAGGAGAGAATGAATGCAAGCGATTCTGGCTGAAAATCGCGATGACCACATTTTCTGCGCAGTTATAAGTTTCATAATCTCTCTTTAACCTTTATTCGATAAAATATTCTAGAAAGACCAAAACGTTGGAAATTCTGCTGAGAATGAACATACAGGCAGTCACAATATTTCTTCGCCTACAGTGTGGAGACTTACCTCCAAGGTTTTTCACATTACACTCACCGAGAGGAAATGGATGAGACCAGTCATGTCATGAGACAATGAATGGAATACAGCTCGAGCTTAGCATCTCTCATCCATCCTTACATCTAATAAGGCATATTAATACATTATCCTGTTTTCGTAATGTTTGTAAAATTATTATTATATATTTCCCATGTAATGTTTTCGACGATATTTGGTTGTTAAAGCCAGGTAAAAAGTGAAATAAACATTTCTAGGTAATCTTGGAAAAATATTTTTTTTAAATTTACATGGTGTAACATTATTTTATTCTGTATTCTTTTAAGTGTGTGTATGGCTCAATTGTGTTCTATCAGTAGTTCTATTAGTAACTATTAAAAACGGTTAAAACTACCATACTATTAATACTCGTAACTCAATATCCTTATGAGATTTCACATCACACACACAACACACACACCATATAAGTGTGTACCCGCAAAGAAATAAAAACATTCACGTGTACGAAATAAGCTTACTGGCTTGTCAAAGGTCTCCCTATACATCCTCTTGGCAGACGCGCTTTAACTCCCGCGGAAGCCAGCGCTACCTCAAGAGGCATCGAGTTACGCCTCAGCCGCGACCTTGCACCCACGCCGACGAGCCAGCCCACGTGCTGTCCCGCACCGCTGCTTTCTGCCGTATACCGCTCATCGCCGAGTTCCGCTCGCCCAACGTGGAGAAGGCCGCGAGCGTCTATGAGCCACCGATGTTTACAGTGCCATCCACCGCACGGAAAAACCTGCTCGGCGGCCCGCGGGCTGCGAGTGTCCTCCCGCGGGAAGGGAATCGGAGATAATTACGGCAGAGTGAGTGGGCAGTAAAAGTCTGAATACCGATGAAGCCTCGCAGTCGGAATACCGTCCGCTTTCCCACCAGCCTTACGGAGGCTGGTCGAATAAGCAGGTGTATACTGCTCTTTAAAAAGGGTTCTTTCAGGCGGTAATGACCGAAGAAGTGATTTATCTTGAGGTTACGCCGACAGCCATTGTTAAATCAAAAACATGAGACGTCATGTCGTATTAGGTTAATTCAAATGTCTTCGTTCTGGTTCACGCTCCGACACCTGCGAACTCTCTTAGTATGCTCGAAAACGATGGCTGCGGTAATACCTCTCGTGGTTTCTTTCTCGGAACTTTCTTTCTTAGAATAATTGAATATTCACAGATATGATTTGCTAGATGTACCAAGTTCTTATGAAGAAAGATCTCTAGATTTTAATTATTTTCACTATTCAACTCTTATATCAGATGCAATGTTTAATTAAATCAAAACTGCCAAGCAATTCGTATGTTATTGTTCGTTGCACACATGAATATTTATTTTACTAATGAATAGACGCACTCACATACAACTTATTACTACTTCAAAAGAGACTTCAAATCACTTGTGAAATGTCATATTTCCGTTTTCTTCTAAATTATAAAAACTATTCCAATTTTTTTAGACTTAAGGGTTAAGATTATATTACATAACTACCATAAATGAGCTTAAAAATCTCTATCTCGAATTAACAGTAATTTTATTTAATTTTATACGAAGCTGTTATACCATAACCTTTCTCATGAATTACTATTCTCGGTACTTTATAAAATTATCTCGCACTTTCTTAAGAGTTCGGCGTAAGATCATCCGAATATCAATCAGGCAACATTCCCTGCGCACAGGAACAGATCTTGTTGAGATTATTCAGAAACGCATTAAATTGGAAAATTTCACAGCCCGCTGTGGCGGCGGCGCTGTGGCCGGTACAAAGCTCATCGCGGAGGAGGAGAAATCTGGTGCGCGATGACGGCACTTTCCTCGCTCATCGTCGAGTCACGCGTTGGAATCTCCACTGGCGGCAGCGGAGTACACTGTCACGGAATGGGCCAAAAGGGTACACAACAGTTAAATAAGCATATCAAATTCAAAAATGGATATGTACATAATATTCACTCTCTTACTAAAGCCCTAAAGTATATGCTTCCTATTCTGGAAAATTGTTTTCAAATCGAGGTTAGCCGCATTTGGCAATGTTTTTGAAGTTCTTTAATAAACATAAATACTTTAGTAAGAAAAAAGTAAAAATCTGTTATTGTATCACCTTATATTTGGAGTTAAAGAATTTAAATTATGAATCATTTACGAAACGGAGCTGTTAATTACGATTCAGAAAATAGTCGAATTGTTTCTGTATTCATACCAAACGCATGGGACAAAGACGTGTGGTTCTATTATATAACATACAATAGTACAACACTGAATATATAAAATAATTATAAAATTAAGGAATGAGGGCTGAATCCCTGTAAAATAAAATAAAATCCCGCTGTTGGCGTAAAAAAGAAATACTACAAAAAGTTGGGACATCTCTCAAATTTATAATTTTCATATTCGCAGAACAAAAGGAAAATCTTAGAAAAACCTTCCATAATGTAATGCAAATTTTTATACTATTAACTTATTTCATCTATGTGTATTTTGCTAAACTAAAACTCGACCAACTATTGCTGTGGAATCGATAACTTATGCTAGACCTTGAACTTCGAATTCCACGCAAAGAATGAGTGGTCCACTTCGGAATTGTGATGTGGAAGCAAAACGAAACTCACTCATATTCCATCATCATATCGTGATAAATATTTATCTCTACGTTTGAAAGACCGCTGAGGCGGATAGTGTGGTGAAGTAAAAATTTCTTCCTAAAGTTTTAAATGAGTTGTCAACCACATTTCTAAGCCTGCAAAGTAAGTCCTCTCCCTGCATTAAGGCAGGTCGTAGGAGCGTGGGAACCCAGTGCTCAGATTAATTCACTCATTCCAGGTATTTCCCCAAGCGGTCCACCTCCCCAGCCGAGATCAGCACTAATCTTTCGACATGTGTGTAATGTAGTGCATATAACTGTGTGTGCAAGGAAGGGATGCGGGAAGGACAAAGAAAGGGAGCTCGGGCGTGGTCCGTGACGACTTTGTTAGAGTATTGGTATTGATTGGAGAAACCACGGAAAATTATCGATCAGTCCATCCGGCCGCTAGAATTCTCCTCCAGACAGCGGCTACATTCGACCAACTATCTAGCTAGTGTCAAAAATGCTGTCCCAGTTGGGATTCGAACAGTGGACCTCCCGGTCAGAGGCACTGCAGCGACATCAGTTGCGGGCATGAGCCACTTCAACCGGCCAGTGTTTTGTTGAAAGCTCAATCCAATTGTAAGAAATGCAATCTGCCTGCCTTCGGTTTCTACGCCGCTCGCGCGTCCACAGCGACCGCGCCCGTCGCCCCCCCACGCGCCACGCGTTGCGTAAGCGCCCACACACGCACCGCCGCGCCGCTCCGCGCCGGCCCACTCCCACCCACCGCTCCCACCGCCCGCGCCGCACACGCGCGTTCCCACGTACGCGTGCCCGCCGCGCACGCCCCGACACGCCCCCGGGGTGTGGGGCGCGGGTTCCGGAAGGAAGTGCCATGTCGGACAGACAGCTCCGTGCGAAACGCGAGTGGGGGGAATTTTTTTCGTGGGATAATTGTGTTCCGTTCGGTGCAGTCCATTCGAAAGAACCGGAAATCACATATAATTTTTACGAATCTTAATCAATAATGTGTTATCCCAATATTTGTGACAATCATGTTGAACGTTAGTGATTTTAAATAGCATTATATTTTAGAATATAATTGTATTTACATCGTTCTGAGAACGTGCTTTGTTCTCATCATTCAATTCATTAGATCACAATCAATTAGGCAATAAAATAATAATTAGACCTCGTCATTAATTAATTGATTTGAAATATTCAAAGAATTATAATTACCATTAATTAACTAAAGCAATGAAT